TTCAAATTCTTATTTTAAATCATTTTCTGTTTATGTGAGCAATTCTCTTAGTATATTCCATGCCAAAAAAACGAACACAAAATAAACATTTTTCCATTTATATCTTAGAAATTCTGAGTATCCTACCTATACGCCAGGCTGTAACGTATACGATGCTTCCCGGCCACACACAATTGCTTTTTTAACAAGATATATTTGTTGTCCATTTAATCTATTGATTGGTACAACAAGAACAATAAAATAGCATTTAATTGATACGTCTATAAATTATGAAATCGATTGTGGCCGGGCTGCGCCGCAACACACGGAGGGGCCTATGTCCTATGGGTGGCACACGGAGAGGCCTATGTCCTATGGCCTATGGGTGGACTGTAATAGTCTACTGCTGGACATAGCCCTCTCCGTGTGTTGTTGCTGATTGATAAAGATTCTTCAATCTGTCAGAACTGTCAAACGGTACTTCTATGGGGTCAAAAAAATCGATTATTAATATCCGATTCTGAAAACATATCGTTTCGTATTTCATATCTTTGTATTTACGAATCGATTGCAGTTTAACAGATTTGTGTATGTTATTGTAAAAAACCCGTGTATTGGTATATCTTAGGTTTTACTAGTAAAATTTAAGTATATACCAGACTTGGACACGAGCGATTTTGCCTACAAAGATTAATTAAAAATTACATTAATTTTAATTAATTATGTATTTTCGTTGACAATTGAATGTCACTTGAAATATAAGCATTTTTAAATAAAAGAAGACGAAGAATAAAAGAAGACGAAGAATAAAAGAAGGATAAAATAGAGAACGATAATCTGTATGGTAAAAACAAAATTAAATTATGCTGTTATAATACTTATTATGTTAAATGGAGAATATTTATAACGATACAATATTTACTATAAACAGTCACGGAACAATAATTAACCTAAAATACTAAAACTGCTGTGTTAAATCATAAAACAAAACATTATATCACAAAAATAACAACTTTTCCTTTCTTTTAAAACTTGACAACAAAAAAAAAACAAAAATGCAGCCAAAATTCATCAATCGAATTGGGTGTAACTTGATAATAATAATAAAAACCTGTGTTTTAAAACAGTCAACTAAGTATTTTAACCAACAATGATATTTTATACAAACAAGAGGTAGATTCGCCACCAACGCACAAAACGCGAGGGTCCTAATTAGGACCACTGCAAGCGAGCGCACGTACTAATTAAAATTCATTAAATGCCATCCGGCGTATGCCGAAAGTGCACAAATTACGACAAAAAGGTAAAAAAAGATAAAGGTACATCATACTCATACAAATGTTACAAATGTAATTATGTTATTTTTTTGTACAACAAAGAGTTATCTATCTATCGGACTTAGCAGTCAGAATCGCTAACCACTCTATCAAAATGACCCTTTCAATACCGCTTCTCAATCTACACAACGCCGCAAATAAACCGAGCCACCCGCTACCTAGGAACTCTGATTCGATTTTCTCAAAAAGTATAAAACTTACAACTATCAAAGTTATACCTACAAAAAGTGCGTTTCATGGTGATTAAAATGACTAAAAATTAATTCGAAAGTACCGTCAACTCACATTGTAATCAAGCAACAAACACAATGCTAACGATTTGCTCTGTTTTCACCAGAGTTTGAAATTAGCGTTCTTTTTCTCTACAATGAGGGTAGTCGGATATTTCTTATCATTTCTTTAGTTTTTGTCCATCGTTTGCTCAGACGCGTGTGTTTTTGCTACTTTTTTCGATTAATAATTAATACAACACCTCAGGAAGCAGCTCAAGCTGTAGCATTACTTCAAGCAGGCATCGCGCAACGTGAAGTCGCTCGAAGGCTTCGAATCAGCAGATCTTCGGTGCAACGAGTTTACAGACGATACCTAGAGACTGGAGCAGTCGATCGCCGTCCAGGTACGGACAGACCTAGGGCTACATCAGCAGCAGATGATCGTTATATCCACCTTACTGTTCTGCGAAATCGCCACCTCAACGCAGTTCAAGTCCAACAAAGTCTGCGTGACGAACGCCAAGTGGTCATAAGTTCAGATACCGTCAGAAGGAGACTTGCTGAACGGAACCTGACCCCAAAAAGAGCTGCAACAGGCCCAGCATTAACGGTAGCACACCGTCGAGCACGACTTGAATTTGCTCGAGAGCATAGGGATTGGACATTAGAGCAGTGGAGTAATGTACTCTTCACTGATGAGACCAGGGTGAGTCTACATGGAAGTGATCGACATCAGAGAGTATATCGTCGCCCTGGAAAACGTTATTCTCAGTGTTGCATCGAGGAAACTGTTGCTTATGGAGGAGGATCTGTAATGGTCTGGGGCGGCATCTCGTTAACAGCACATACAGCGTTAGTTTTCATCGAACCGACGGGCCGTACACGTGGACTGACTTCTCATCGCTACATTACTGAAATCCTCGCAGACCATGTGGTACCTTACGCAGGATATATCGGACAGGATATGCAATTGATGCATGATAATGCACGGCCTTATGTTGCTCATGTGGTGACCCAGTATCTACGCGACGTCAGCATTCGTACGATGGACTGGCCAGCTCGAGGCCCGGACTTGAATCCGATAGAACACTTATGGGATGAGCTGAAACGTCGGGTTCGAGCCCGGGTACCTGCTCCAACAAGGCTTCCAGAGCTGCGAATCGCAATTGAAGAGGAGTGGAATACAATTCCTCAAGATTTTATCGTCAGGCTCGTAAGGTCGATGAATACAAGGATGCTGGCAGTTATCCGAGCAAGGGGAGGGAATACGGAATATTGATTAAAAACTTTTTTTTGATTTTATCTTTGTTTTTGGCTTTAATTTTTTTTTTCACTTTATCATTACTAACGATTGTCACGACTGGAAAACGACTCTTCTTTGTAAAATCTATACTAATATTATAAAGCTGAAGAGTTTGTTTGTTTGTTTGTTTGAACGCGCTAATCTCAGGAACTACTGGTCCGATTTGAAAAATTCTTTCAGTGTTAGATAGCCCATTTATCGAGGAAGGCTATAGGCTATATATCATCACGCTAAGACCAATAGGAGCGGAGCACCAATGAAGAATGTTTCAAAAACGGAGAAAATTTATTACTATTGAGAGACGCAGACGAAGTTGCGCGGGTCAGCTAGTCCTTAATAAACACTGAAATATTGATTAAACCCAATGAGTTTCCTTTCATTTTAATCACCATGAAACGCACTTTCTGTAGGTACAACTTTGTTAATTGTAGGTTTTTTAGTTTTTGTGAAAATCGAATTAGAGTGCCTAGGTAGCGGGTGGCTCGGTTTATTTGCTGTCCAGTGTATTTTATATTTTTATTTTATTTTTCTTGGAATACCAACAGCGTAAATAACGTAATGGAAACATTATAATAAAGTAACAACGAAGCTATTCACAGGTATTCGCAAATAGATTCCAAGTGTGAAATAACAGTTCAAATAACGTACCAACAACAACAACAAAAAAAAGTACATTGAAAAAAAAACTTAATAGGAATAACACATTTTTGGAAACAAAAGAAAACTTAGACTAAGAAAATGTCACGCTACTGTTATTGGGCTTTAAAAACATATTGAAGTATTTTTTGACAAGTGAAGGTTTGGATCTGAAGTGCTCAAACTCGCTACCTACTCAATTTATGCATATCATTTACAGATCTACTGGCTCAAATAATAAAGGATTTTTTGCGGCAGTTGCTATTTGTTCGAGTTACTGCTAAAAGGTGGATTATGCCTAGTGATGTGATGACCAATCAATCAAAGGTCTCTGTGGTGACGTTCGTACAGTTAATTAGTTACTTTATTTCGTTTAAGTAAAGTACGTAATTGATATACGATTTAATTTAAACACCTTTATAAATTCGCGTGTAGGTAAATACTGTACCAATCAACTTAACATACAATTGCTAAGGAACCTAAAATTCAACTACCTACTGCTTTTTTTTAAGTTCTTAGCGTTACACAGCATTTCTGCCGTTTTCGATTAACTTTGACCTCAATGACCAGCAAAGAGTTTTAATTATTTATTGATATTTAAAGGAATTGACTTGTACAGTAGGAGCGAAAATGTAACCACCATATTAAAACTTTATATGTCATAATCTTGATAAATCTATTTGTTTTAACTATTTATGGAAATAAGGGAAGTGTGTAGAAGTGTTTAAAACTAGTCCAAGAAATTCTCGAAGGTTTAAAGTCTGTCTATCCACTAGGCAAGCGTAGATTAACATAGTTAAACCTCTCAGATACAGATATACTTATGTAGCGTAACACTTTATAAAAAGTACTAGGGATGTGGAATAAATTCACTCACATGTGATATACCATACGATTAAAAAATCATTTTATCACACCTGTGACTGATTTACAAAACCACTGCTACTTAATTATTATTATTACACTTGCGCAAGTCTCGCGAAAGGTTTAAATTAAAAAAAAGGCGTAATCTTCGATAAAAAGAATTTTGATTGATTTTAATGCCACTTATCTTTGTTCATGACGGAATCACAATTACATGTGAAATCGCTGTGACTAAAGCCAATAATTTCATCAATATGAATATGATATATGATAGCAATAATTTCCATGTCTAAAAAGTACCCATTTTGTGTGCAGTAGTGTGCCAAACTCAAAAGAAACTGACTGCAGTAACTAAATAACACAAATAAATCAATTCTGATATAATATAACAATAACTTCACACACCTCACAACGTTAATACCATTTTAATGTTCAAATATATAATTTTAAATTGTTTAGTAATAATTATAGTAGGTACGACATCCGTTGGACAAAACTAAATGATCTTACTATTTGTCTAATTAAACTTGGCATGACATCTTCAGGTATGTGTCCGACATTAGAAACCTATTAACTAACATATGACCGCCAAATTTAAATTACCCAATCCAATCCAATTCCAAATAACACAATCCAATAGATAGCTACTAGTTCCAAATTAAATTTCGTTTATAATTTCGAGTGAATTGTTTCGATTTTTCCGGCGGCTTGCTTCTGTAAATCGACAAGTTTCATAGCAAGGCTGACGTTACCTTGAATTTTAATCTTTCCCTGGAGAAAGGCCTTCTGAGGATTCAACTTTCCCAAGACGAGATCTGTTACGTCATTGTCGTTGATGGTAAATGTAACATCAGGTTTCTCCAAGCCGTTGTAGGTCACTTTGCCTTTTCCCTCTTTGGTGTTAACGACCCAATAACCTTCTTCGTCATTTGGACCATTCTTCACTTTAAAAGCGTAAATTCCGCTAAACTTTGCGACGAGGTTATCTGTGTCCTTTTCGAACCCTTCTTCGAGCAACTTCATGTATTTGCCGATCTTGAAATCATCGGGATTGGCTGCGGCAACGGCGTTGGGACTGACGTTGGTAAATTCTTTAAGATACATATTAGATATTTATGTCTTTTAAAACCAGAGTGATCAGAAAACAGTTTTAAAGCGTCAACACCTTTTAAAGTTAATTTAAAACAGACACACAGTGACATTGACAGGGTGATAGGCAAATACTGAACAATATAACACAATTTACAATTCAAAAGCACTTAAATTGGTTTAAAATAAATGTTCATGTAAAATTTTATGCCTTTAAAGTTATGTTAATGTCGGTTTCAATAGCATTGTCATGATAGCTCAACTACATTATTAAGTTAACACTTCTTTGGTTATTAAGTATGTACTTTTTTTATTTATAATGTGGACTTTGACACCATATAGCAACGATGACGTAGAAGATTACGAGGTTTATACATGCATAGACCAACACAGGCCACCGGCAAACCGTGTTGCTTAATGTATACATGTGATAATGTTTTACGATTACATAATTGAAAATTAAAATGAAAATTTTAATGACAGATTTATACCTAACCTGTCGGATGTTTAGAGTAGGTTAACCTCGCCAGTATTCCAACGTATATTCGTATCATCATCATCTCAGTCGTGAGATACTCCCTGCTGGACATAGGCCTCCCCCCAAGGTTCGCCACAACAAGCGGTCCTGTGCCGTTCGCATTTAACGGCTTTCCGTGACCTTCAGCAGGTTTCGTGTATATAAAGCGATACATCTATACTAATATTATAAAGCTGAAGAGTTTGTTTGTTTGTTTGTTTGTTTGAACGCGCTAATCTCAGGAACTACTGGTCCGATTTGAAAAATTCTTTCAGTGTTAGATAGCCCATTTATCGAGGAAGGCTATAGGCTATATATCATCACGCTAAGACCAATAGGAGCGGAGCACCAATGAAGAATGTTTCAAAAACGGAGAAAATTTATTACTATTGAGAGACGCAGACGAAGTTGCGCGGGTCAGCTAGTATATATATATGAAGTTGAAAAAAAATATTGTATTTCTTTAAACAACTATAAGTTATGGAGAAAAATAAAAAAACAGACTTATTACTCTACCTCTGTTATTTGCGATAAAATCTACGTTGCCTATACAACAAGTACAGATCGTATTTTCCTTTTTTGTTGGCAGCAGCTCACCAAATTTATATTAAATAAATTTGGTGAGCTGCCAGTACATTTTACCGTCTGTAACGAGCTGTAAGCAGAGCACATAATTTTATGCAATGTAGACTTATTCTACTTGTGATTAAGACACATGCACCTCTTTACGATATGGGTCAGATATTATCAGCCATTTTGCCTCGCACAACCAATCTGTGCAACGGGTTATCGTCTGCCGTATTTACGGATCGATACAGAAACAAACTTTCAAGAAAAGAGTGTACTCCTTCCTAAAGGTAACCGGTAACGCGTTTGTGACTCCTGACTTGCAAGTCAGTCTGCGCCTGGTCGTAGAAAGTGACCTGTCTGCTCATTTATCAATGACATACCTACTATTGAATCCTTGCATTTGACAATAATTACTATTTATAACATTTACTATTATGATTGAAACTGTAGGTAATTTAAGGTTTTAAAAGATCATAATTTTATTTAGAACATAACTTAGACTTGTGATTAGTGTCAATAGCTCTGTTACAATCATTTAATAAATTTTATGCAAAGTAGTAGAAGCGCAACCCCAAGACGTCAATGACATTTCACTGAACGTGTGTCTACATTAATTGGTTGTTAAAAACTGTGTTAAGGCTGAGCAATTTCCATACACTGCTTTGAACCGAAACTAAATACCTGTTTTATTAACTACCAATCGAAACTACGATATTACATCATTATTACACAATTATTTCTGTTTCGGTTTTACTAGTTTCTGTACTATTAAGTACAAAAATAATTCATGCATACTATCTTCTCTGGCATTGGTTGTAGAAAAACTCAAATCAAACATATTTTATTACAAAAATCATTTAATAACAATAATAATCCGATTTATTTCTACATTTGGAATGCATAATCGCAATAATCTATACCCTTTACTATTAAAAAAACCTTATTATTTCTACCCATTAGACTGTCATATTTCATTTGACCATTATCTTATCATCATGTTCCTACATAGGTATAATATCGATAAAGATAAAAATGTCTTCAATGTCAAAGTTCAGATCCACAGTAATATTATCATCTAACACCAAAATTTACAATTTCGAGCGAATGGAGTCAATTCTACCAGCAGCTTGCTTTTGTAAGTCGGTCAGTTTCATAGCGAGACCCATGTTACCCTGGATTTTGATCTTGCCCTGGAAGAAAGCCTTCTGAGGATTCAACTTTCCAGAGATAAGGTCTACTACGTCGTCGTCGTTTACGGTGAAGGTAACGTCAGGTTTTTCAGAGCCATTGTAAGTCACTTTGCCTTTGCCCTCTTTGGCGTTGATGACCCAGTAGCCTTCCACGTCATTCGGACCTTTCTTAACTTTGAAACCGTAAATTCCCCTAAATTTTTCAACCAGGTTTTCTGTGTCGGTTTCCATGACTTCTTCAAGGATTTTCATGTACTTGGATACTTTGAAGATGTCAGAGTTAACCGCGGAGACGGGGTTAGGGTTTACGTTAGTAAATCCTTTGCGGTACATGGTGACGATAACTGCTCCTCCGGCACCCAAGTTATGTTGAAGAGCAATCTTAGCTTGTGGCACCTGAAATTTTTTAATTAAATTCTGATTCAGAATAAAAAGAAAAGAGATGACTGGAAAACGAGGTTAAAATATAGATTTGACAAAACTTCCTGTAACAAAGTTCAGTACTTTAATATTCTAATATTAAAATTCATCTATGACTCATGCATTTTTATTAGGACTGTTATCTGTCTGAGGAAAAGTTTGTTTTTGTAAACGTAACTACAAAGCGTGTAGGTACGTTACCACAAGATGTCGAAAATGGTCATTTGAATGTTTTAGATAATTAGTTGCCCCGCTTCTGTAATTGTTACGCACATTTTTAGCTTTGTTTTACTTAATAGTTTTTAAGTTATTTCAAAAAACATTTCCTGCTGGGGTAACGTTTGTTACGATACCACAGCAGGAAATGTAGACAGTATATTTTTGATTCGATTCTTGCAAATCCTCGATTGACCGTTAAAACTTACAGAAGAGATTACTTTGGAGATAAATATTTCTGACAAGCAACATACAACGCCATCTAGTTTACTATCCACCATCTACTTTTTTTTGTACATACATACATATTACGAGTATACATAGAAAACACCCAAACTCCGAAACAAATATTTGCAGATCACACAAACATTTGGTCTGACCCGGGGATCGAACCCAAGACCTCTGCACAGCAGTGGCACCGAGGCAGTTACACACAGGACACAAACAAGGGCTGACAATGCACTTGTGTCGCTGAGTTGCCAGTGTGCATAGGCGGCGGTAGTCACGTGACTCGTCTGCATAAGGACATAAGAACTTTAATTTAAGGAACAGAGTTAAGGATTACCTGAATTTATTTAGGAAATCTATATAACGCAATCGAAGCCGTGGTCAAAAGCTTATACAAGGTAAACAAATTAAAAAAGAAATAATCAATAGGTCGGTTTTCTTTTTAAAGACTTCTTGTAATATCCTGGGCAAATAAATAAATTTGAGTTAAAAAAAACTACAAATAAATATTCTATTTCTTAAAATTGATCAATTAAAACTAATTCACAATTTAAACAAGTCAAAACATGCCTGATAGGTGACATCCATTACTAGTTTACGTAACAGCTGGAGCCTCCACTTACCTTTCTACAAAGCATACTAACCCGAGTGTGTTTAAGCTGTTAAAATTTCGATCCCGCTGCGAATTTCAGTTGCATGCATTTTGTTGCTACTGTAGCTAGGAATACATACGTTTGTGAAACATACATCACAAAAAACCATGGTTTAAGATGCTTCATAACATGATGCCCACGATCATCTACAGTAACTAATCCTACGTTGTCTAACAAATATCGAGCAACAGTCTATAGTCCATTTGCGTTAAGAAAATACTGAAGTCAAACCCTGCCCTGTGACCTAGCAGATTCCAAGAAATTACGGTTTCCGAAAGCTTGGCACCTGAAGGCCAATTCTCGTAATATTCGGTCACAATTCAGTTCCGATTTCACAACTAAAATAGTAAAGTATTACTAAAACTAGCAGATTACCGATTATATTTTCGGTTAATGATATAATCACATTACAGTCGACCTTTGGATGTTTAATACTTTACTACGATAATACATTTTATGGCAGTTGTAAAATCGAGAGTTGATCGCAACTAAATTAAGACGGAACATTTATTACGAGAATTAACCCTCTGATTGGTCAGGGTGTTGGGCTTGATAGATGCGTCACTATTTTCTTAACGCAAATGGACTATAGTCTAAACTATTTAGAAAAATTATAGGATACCTACTGAAGCAGTTTTGAGCAGTCGGAGCAATTTTGTGCTCCAGTAAATTCGATTCAAGCTTTAAACACATTATCTTACAGTACCAAATAGTTACACTATTATTCTACTTGTAACCGAATATCTTTATTTACAAATAATAATAAACAGTATTTAGTGTATGTACCTACTTACTGTTAGACTCACTTATGCAAACAAAAAATCAATGACATGCCAAAATCAAGCGAGCAAATCAAGCTTACCTAACACACACGGCAAACGAAATTCACTTTCGCACAAAATTCTTGTTCAAAAACTAACCAGATGCAACCTTTATTGTTACCGGACAAACAAAAAATCTATGAAATTATAATATTATACATAGGAATCTACTATTTCTTGTATTTCCAAACTTATATTATAAATGTGAAAGTAACTTTGTTAGCTTTGAGGTCTAAACTACTAAACGGATCTAAAAAATTCTTTCACTAATGGAAAGCTACACTATCAGCGGGTAACATTGGCTATTTTTTACTGCGATAACCGAAATACGCGTGGGCCGAGCTGCGGTTATACTTGCTTTTAACCACAGATCGGCCCGCGCGTATTAGAACGAAGTTCCTTATCGCGCGTTGTGAAAGGGGGCTAGACGGAAAAAATTCTCACGAAAAGTTGTAACGACACTTATTGCTATAGTAAGCTGTGCGGCGTGCGCATGTTTCTCTGTCTGTCTCTCTCTCTCTTTTAGAAAGCAAGCCAGATATTTTCGTTTCGTCTTTCTATTTTTACATTATATATATTTGTTAATAATAAAAAAATATTATTATAACTTAAAAAAAATACAATTTTATTATACTTCCTTCACTAATTAATAGAAAGGAACTTCGTTCCATCCGGGTGTCCCTTGACACCTCTCAAGTTATAGTGTGTGCGTTACCCCAGCAAAATAATGTCGAAAATGGTCATTTAAACGTTATAGATAATTAGTTGCTCCCCTTCTGTAATTGTTAAGCACATTTTTAAATTTGTTTCTCTTAAACTTTTTTAGTTATTTCAAAAAAACATTTCCTGCTGGGGTAACGTTTGAAACGTTACCGCAGCCAGACATTTTCTTTTTTAATTGTAATATTGAAATAAATTTTAGCTAAATAATTAGTTATCTGGACTAGGTAAATGTTACAATTTATTTGGTATTTGTATTTTCTTCGGCTGCGAAGTTATTCGAGATCCTGCTGGAGTAACGTTTGTGGGTTTGCTGGATCTCTGAAACGGGTAAGCGGATTGTAACCATCTTTTGTACATAACTTCTTAAGGATTAGTTTTAATTTGTTCGACAGTAAAATAATAAAAATAATGGACCGTTTAAAAATTATTTAGGTAAGTATGAAAACACTTCAATACGTCCTAACACTTTGAATAAGACCTCTAAAGACTTACTTCAAACGTTATTCTATTGCTTGTAACTACCTTCAAATGTATACGAATTTTCGTAAGAATACTGTAAGTGACTAAAAAGTTATGATGAAATGTAGCTCTCCACGTTCACGATCACAATGTGTGCGGCCTTTTTTGGCCACCGATAAACCTGTGTGTGGATATATAAACTGAATGTTATGCCAACAATTAGTTGTTTAGTTCAGTTGTCTACCTGTAAAATTTCGGTATCGTACATATAATAATTTACGAGATAGTTAAATAAAAGTCATTAGAAGGTGCAAGTCCGTGGTAACCCGACCATGTTTAGGTGGTTACAAAAAAGCGATCACCTAGTACATTGCGCTGTCTTTTAAAATGTTTAGTGTAATAGACCTTACGATTTCGGTACAGTTGCGTACAGTGTTAAATACATTCAATATTTATTCATTATTATTACCTATTATTTATTTTGTTCTTTTTTCCTAATTGATCTTAAGCACTAGTTTCTTTACTTAAAATTTCTTTAGTCTGTTTAGCTACGGGAGCTACAATCAACAGAAAATCTGCACTGGCCCGCTAAAATTATAAATATGTAGATACATGTATGAACGATTCACCTGACTGCAATAAATCGAAAATTTAAACCATTAAGAAATCGTTTCATTTCTTTGATTTTTTTTGTAAAGAAATAACACTGAAGTAATTGTATTTTATTTTGAGGTATATAGAGCTTAGACTTGAATGCATCAAAATATTTAAAGAAACAAGTCATCTACAATTAGTTAAAATATACCATAATAGTAGAAGAATATAGTTGTAAATTAGAATGCATCAACATTGCATCGCCCAACAGTCGTATACCTCGTAAGAGTAGGTAATATTGTTCTGTGGTCTATACCGAGAACCGAGAATTATCTATACCTATGTACCTACCTGTGACTGTTGATTTCTGTTAAAAACGAACAGTTGTTGAATGATATTTTGATATAATAACGGTAATTTAATTTATCGAGTGAAAGTGATACATTTTTATAGATAAAATTATTGGTCAGATAATATTTGTCAATCAAGAATCGCCGATAATACATCCTTAGCTAGAACGCGGGAGGGGACGGGCGAAGGGATACTTCATTGTTTGCAATTTGCATCTAGTGCACTAAACTTGACCCTTAGGCAGATAATATACGTCTTGTGAAGTGCGTGTACGCTTCCGCTTTCTATTTTTGCAAATATTTATCGTATTCTTGGGAGTTCTTCAATATGTGTGTACCTAATTACTAGTAATGGGAATTAATGCTAATTAGATTCAATTTAAGTAATTGCGAATTCTTGTCTTAGGATGTTAATTACTAATGCTAATATTGAAATTTCGTTCGGGGTGAACAAATTAAAAACGATCATAACTTGTAGGTATATCACTATTACTAATTTTACATAAATAATTTATTTTATTATAATTTAACTCACCGCGATTTTGTGATCAAATATTTTATTTTCTCATACATTATTACAGAAATAATGCACTGCAGAGTTTGTTCGCGATATGCTAGCCTAAGCCGATTTATCACTTTAAAAAAATCCCAATCTATTTACAAAATACCTATTTACAACGCATACGTTACACTCTTCAAAACTTAAATTACCTATACCTACCCTAAAATTAAACTTCAATTAACAAATACTACACAGGTACCAATTCTATGAACAACTATAAACAATTCACCTAAACATTACGAGAAAACAAAAGCATTCAAAACAATACCTAATCTCCCGGCTGATTACTAATTATGCAATAAACAATCCTAAATAAAAATTATTTTAAAACATGTAGTTTTTGTAACACTTATGTACATATCCGTAGTAAACTTGCAAATAATATCCTACATATTTTAAAAGCCAGCACAATGTACTGGGTGATCGCTTTTATGTAACCACCTAAACATAGTCGGGTTACCACGGTCTTGCACCTTCTAATGACTTTTATTTAATTATCTCGTAAATTATTATATGTACGACGCTGAAATTTTACAGGTAGACAACTGAACTAAACAACTAATTATTGGCATAACATTCAGTTTATATATCCACACACAGGTTTATCGGTGGCCAAAAAAGGCCGCACACATTGTGATCGTGAACGTGGAGAGCTACATTTCATCATAACTTTTTAGTCACTTACAGTATTCTTACGAAAATTCGTATACATTTGAAGGTAGTTACAAGCAATAGAATAACGTTTCAAGTAAGTCTTTAGAGGTCTTATTTAAAGTGTTAGGACGTATTGAAGTGTTTTCATACTTACCTAAATAATTTTTAAACGGTCCATTATTATTGTTATTTTACTGTCGAACAAATTAAAACTAATCCTTAAGAAGTTATGTACAAAAGATGGTTACAATCCGCTTACCCGTTTCAGAGATCCAGCAAACCCACAAACGTTACTCCAGCAGGATTTCGAATAACTTCCCACCCGAAGAAAATACAAATACCAAATAAGTTGTAACATTTACCTAGTCCAGATAACTAATTATTTAGCTAAAATTTATTTCAATATTACAATTAAAAAAGAAAATGTCTGGCTGCGGTAACGTTTCAAACGTTACCCCAGCAGGAAATGTTTTTTTGAAATAACTAAAAAAGTTTAAGTGAAACAAATTTAAAAATGTGCTTAACAATTACAGAAGGGGAGCAACTAATTATCTATAAAGTTTAAATGACCATTTTCGACATTATTTTGCTGGGGTAACGCACACGTTTTTTTTTAGATTATCTGTTTCCAAAAGGTACAGATCACAAAACTTTTCTTAAAACTGTCACTGTGTAGATTCATCCCGTTTTGTGTAAGTAGGTTGCAATTGACAGAAAGAAAATTCATTAAGCTTCAAGATGGACATTAATGTACTGAATATATTTCATGCAGGCTTGTAAATTATTTTCCCAATATTTTGATTTACAGGTTCAAATATATGATAGAGGATGGTGGTCATCCAGGTGTTCCGACAACCTGGTGAAGACCACTTGTTGTGGTGCACCTTGTGGGAGGGCAGCCCGCAACAGGGTCAAGCAGCGAACGTCTTTCGACTGAGATGATATGATGATGTTTAGTAGTTACAATAAATGTACATTCCTTCCTATTTTTAATATTTACATGCAATCTTTCTGATTTTTTCTTTAAATTTTACAACGCTATGATAGTTTTTTTCTATGAAATGACATTAATTGGTGGACATTAGACCCATGGGTAACCGAATTAAAAAGTAGGCAAGAGTTCCATCTTCACCTTCTGGTTAAATCATCAGATCATCTTTAAGAATCCTAATCTATTCGAATAATCAATATGAACCATTTAAGCAACTCGAGTATACTAGTAGCCACCTGCCAGCTCCTGGCTCCATCATCAGTCAAACTACATGTAATCCCAAGATTAGTTTACATAATTGGTGTGGAGACGGATTAAGAATACAAATTGTCACCACCCCAATTCATCCCGTGGGTGTCGTAAGAGCCGACTAAGGGAGCAAACTAAGCAGGACAACAGCACTGCAAAGAGAAGAAAAAATTGAAACAAACCCTATACCAACCCATCTGGCCAGCGTGGTATAGTAGGCCAAAAACCTCCTTTCTAAGGAGAGGCCTATGTCCAGCAGTGGACTAGTATAGGCTGTTGATGAATTGTTGTTAGCTAGGAGAGAACTTCACATAAATACATTGAAAATAGAAGATATACACACACAGTATTTAGTACTAAGTTACCGATACTGGTTTTACAGTTCCATAATTTTTGTAGTTATGAAGTGAATTTATGGCTTTGCGTTTGAACACGCCGCAGCGTATTCGCTCTGAAGATCAAAGGGGCGCTAAATGCTGTTGACACCACAATTACATCAATCTTTAATGGAGGAAATATCTTGTTACGCAGTTTGACTGATTTATCTATAAATATAAGACCAAAAGTATTTACTTCTACAAATACATATATTTGTTAAAAAAACCAGTGTAAAACAAAATAAGATTATATTATATGTATTTTACGACGTCGCAAGATACAAATAAAACACATTTTATAAAAAATCTCTATTACAACAATAATAATGCGATTTAACCATTTATAAATATCATTTGGAATGATTGAATAATCTTTAATCTACATTTACTCTTAAAAAGTAAATTTTATTGCCTTGGACTTGTGACTGTCATATTTTATTTCCCCGCCATTTTGTCGCTGGGTACTTGTATAATAATATTTGTGTATGATCGATAAGTATAAAAATACCCCCAACCTCTAAGTCCATAACCACAGTAGTATACTAATACGAGTATCAGTTTCGTTTACAATTTCGAGCGAATTGTTTCGATTCTGCCAGCAGCTTGCTTTTGTAAGTCGGTCAGTTTCATAGCGAGACCCATGTTGCCCTGGATTTTGATCTTGCCCTGGAAGAAAGCCTTCTGAGGATTCAACTTTCCAGAGATAAGGTCTACTACGTCGTCGTCGTTTACGGTGAAGGTAACGTCAGGTTTTTCCGAGCCGTTGTAAGTCACTTTGCCTTTGCCCTCTTTGGCGTTGATGACCCAGTAGCCTTCTGCACCATTTGGGCCTTTCTTCACTTTGAATCCGTAGATTCCTCTTACTTTTTCGATGAGGTTTTCTGTGTCAGTTTCCATAGCTTCTTCGAGGATTTTCATGTATTTAGATACTTTGAAGTCGTCGGGGTTGCCGGCGGCAACAGCGTTGGGGCTGACATTCGTGAATCCTTTGCGATACATTGTGACGACAACTGCACCACCGAGTCCTAAGTTGTGTTGAAGAGCGATCTTAGCTCGGGGCACCTGAAATTTTTTAAATACTGTTAATAATGAACAAATAGATGACTATGGAACACCATAATATTAAGGAGATTTAATTTAAATTTTGCGCATGATTTTGATTTAAGTAGTTTTTAGTTAAGTAATTATTTATTAAAGTAGATATTATAATATCCAAAGAATTGTGTCACAGGCAAACCTAATGATAATTTAAGCATGAATATAATAAGTGAGTATGAAATGAAACCACATTTTATAAAATATACGAGTATAATGAATTTTGGTAAATATATTGGGGATATATCCGTCCAGAATGCCATGAAATTTAATAAAACGTTTAAAAACTTCAACCTACATAAGGAAAATACATATTTAGTTTTAAGTTAGATATGTCTGCTAGGTAACATTCATGTAATTATGAGTGTATATATATATATATATATATATATATATATATATATATACATATATATCTTTATATATATAATTCTTCTGTGAGTGTGTATGTCACTGAACTTCTCTCAAACGACTGGACCGATTTTCATGAAATTTTTTGTGTGTGTTCAAGGGGATCTGGGAATGGTTTAGATTCACAATTTTGTCCGCTGGACAATGTTTTTTTAAATTTTTAATTTATTAGTAGTTGTTGATTTTGGAATGTTTTGTCATTGGATCAGACAGACGGCGCTACCATCGCAGTGTCAAATTTGACAGGACAACGTCTGTCGGGTCCGCTAGTATATATATATATATATATATTTGCATAGTATTTACGCGCGGCTCGCGGGTCTCGGTCCAATGTCTAACGGACAATACTGACATTAGTATAACATAATAGGTCTTTACCTATGAAATTGCCGTTTTGTATGCAATAAGTGAAAGTACTTATTTTTTTAAACTTTTTTATTTCTGTTATTCGAAGTAATCACCCATGCAATCGACGCATCTTTGCCAACGCATTGGCAGTTTATTGATGCCCTTCTTGTAAAAATCAGCTGGACGGGAGGCAACAAACTCTTCAAAGGCATTTTGTACTGCCTCTCGGGAATTGATTTTTTTACCCACTAAAAAGTTGTCTAAATTTTGGAAAAAGTAATACTCAGTAGGTGCAAGGTCTGGTGAGTATGGCGGATGAGGGTCCTCCCGTCTCCGCCTCCCGTCCAGCTGATTTTTGATCAATAAACTGCCAATGATGATGCAAAGATGCGTCAATTGCATTGATTTGATTGGTTTGCATTGATTGGTTGATTTCATAGGTAAAGACCTAATATTAATACGTGAAGAGATTTCTTTGTACATATTTCAGAGTGTTTTGAACCCCTTTGAAGTTTTAAGCATTGGAAGTGTAAGTGCATCGGTAAATTTTATTAATAATTATTCTACTCAAAAATTGGCTGGTAGCTACGAAACGCTATGGAAGTCTACTATATGAGGTCATCTGTCGTGATACAGTAAGTCAAGTCAATGACGGTTCATGAAAAAAAACCAATAACTGACCAATTACAGAAAACAAAACACTTAATTCTCAAAGAGTTATGAGGGTAATATTTGATTGGGGGGGGGGGGGGGGTCGTCTACTCGTCTGTCTGACCCGAGGTAATGCCAACGACAGGTGGTATCCGAGGGGATTTCCGCACGGAAAAAAAAAGGGTAATATTTGACTACTAGAAACATTCGGAAGTAGGAAATGCGTAGGAGAACCAATACAATTCTTTTAATTTAAGAGTGTTCGAGGTCATTAGATGGACTGGCATCAAATAAAATAGGCTAGAAGCAAATGATTGTTCTTCGTCGAAGTCTGATGAGGTTTGCAAAAAATCCGAACAAAACAAACAATTGGCATTACAGAGCCCGCCTATTATAAACAACGTAACTCCAATAGTTGCCTATTTTACTGCTAGTTCAAGTATCTAGCATAGAGCTGATAAAACCGTGAATTATTAACAAGTTTACTAAAAGTATGCATATCTCAAAATGATCCCTAATCCTATCATCGCATAAAACATAAGTGGACCTAATAAAATATTTGTTACTAAATAATTGTTGTTGTAAAGTATCTAAACTTGTGAAGCGTTACGTTACTTATGATATGACTGATAATATTAGACCTTTGCCCATTACAGAGAGTGTTCATTATAATCGTATGAATTATCGTTTTTATCAAGCATGTATATTACTTTAATTACAAGTGCTCTGTGTATCTTCGAATGGTAAGAATAAACTATCTGTTTTTATGCAGTTGAAGACGTTCGTAATCCTTTTCATAACACAAAACAACTCTGCGAATACGAACGGAAAACAATACGAAACCTTTTATAAACTTCATTGTGTTAATGTTGCTAAGTTTAACATCATTATAAAAATTAAACAATAGGTTATAATATGATTACGTATATTTAATAAAAACTTGATATTTTTTCTAATTAACTAGTAAAAAAAGAGAAGGCCATCTGGAATCACGAACAGCAAGATACTTATTCCAATTACGTCACGGTTCTTGAATAGACTTTAAATTTCAGTTTAAAGCTTTAGTATATTTTTAATTAAAACCTTAAGGAAAGGTACTCGTATAGTTTGAATTTCATTAGCACTACTCCACCTAAACTTAAGTTACAAAAAAAAAACAAATATAATTACAATTAAAATATAATTACAAGAACTTAAGACAAATGGTTTGTGTTTAGTTTCGAAATAATTGCTGGAATTAATGTAATAAACGAGTTTAGAGACAGCAACGGAAAAAAACGCGGCAAACAAATATTGCCCGTCTGGCCAGCGTGGTATAGTAGGCCAAAACCTCCTTTCCAAGTAGAGGCTTATGTCCAGCAGTGGACTATTAAAGGCTGTTGATGATGATGATGAAACAAATATTGACAGCTGTTATTTTGGGCTTGATACTAGAGGCAGCGAAGGCAACATTTGTTGGTATTACATTTTCTATCTAATTCTCTACAACAGTAAATATTTGATTAGTTCTCTTTTTTTTTTAACTCCCACATTAGGAAAATATCCTGTGTAGCGGGGACTTTACAACCATACATGAAACGGACACAAAGAACACCCAGACTCAGAACAACAATTTTCGGATCACACAATGTGTCGTCCCATGTGGGGTATGAACCCACAACACTCGGCGTATTAGGAAGCGGCTTGGCGACCGCTTAAACCACTACGTACAAATATCTAGAGAGGGCACTAGATTTATAAAAGGGGTCGGGGGCAAGCCGCGAGAAATGATCTGCATGTGCGTAAGTCGTCTAGTTGAAAGCTATTTACCCGAAGGCAACGTTTTTGCAACCAATCATTCGATCGATCGATCGATCGATCAGGGAACAGCACATACTATTAAGAGACATTTTCCTAATAACATATTTGCCCACTTTGCTCTTATTTCAATAGAGCGCATCAAACAGACGGAAGCTTAGTTTGAAAATTGAACTAAATGGAAGATGTAGAATTTACCCATCTACAAATGCCTGTTCGGGTGATAAAGTGAAGTAGTGTCCTCATTATTCGGAGTACAATAGGAATAAAACGAAAATTCTAAATGTTTTATTGATTGAACCGTAAAGGTTATATCTAAAAAGGTTACATCCGCTCTGAGTGATATTTAAATCAATTTTGCTCGCAAATGCGCTATCTTGCAAAATATTTCCATGTACGGTGTTTAATACAGTTTAAACTGTGCCACACAAGTGAACAGATATTGAAAGGTATATAAAACTATATAAGACATTATCTAAAACGATACACGCCCAAATTGTTATAGGTATTATGTGTTTCTATGACATCATTATCGGATACTGAATGTTGAATTATGACAATATTTGACACTGTCAATTGGTCATCTGAAGTGAATAAAGGCAAAATACACGCTTGCCTCGTTTCCTTATCATTGGGATCAGAGAGATGATGACTATATCAAGATAATATTTAATTTTGAAGATTTGATATTAAGATAAATATATTTGTGATGTAACGATCAACTTCTCAACATATGTTTTTAAGTAATGTTATGTTGTCATCTATACAAATCAATAAAATTGAAATGTCTGTTTGTATGTCAAAATTATAGGTTTTTTTCATGCTCACACGGTTATTTGCACTATACCTATGCCTAAAAACCAGTTCTTTTTTTGTCTGTCTGTTGGTTCGGGTAGTCTTCTAAACGGCTGGATCGATTTCGATAATATTTAACTACCATGTAGCTGTTTACGTAAGGAATAACTTAGCATATTTTTCCTCTCAGAAAAACCCTTTAAAATTTTGCCCGGTCCGGGCGTCGAACCCAATAAGGCAGCTCTTTTCAAATTCCACGCGAACGAAGTCGCGGGTACCAGCTAGTAATATATTATAACTTTTTGAAGTCTACTAGTAAGGCAAATGATAGTTGAAAAAAATTTATTAAAGCTTTTTTCATTTAGTCTAACACTGTATTTCCCTCTTTAGTTGAGAGTTCTCAGATAGTTACTCCCAGGATTCTGTATTGGGAAACGAGACTGAGTAAAATAACTTTATTTTACAAAAACAGACAGTACAACTGTTGAAATAGGAGCCATACCGCTAATAGAAGTTTGTTAAACGCAACTTTTGTATAAAGACTATAATTTAATTAATAAATGACGTCTCACGTAAATTGTGTTTTAGGGTTTGGTGTAGTGAAAATACTTCTGTGAGTGAGTTTAGAACGGCCACTTCCAGAGATTAATTTATGCAATACTAGCTGACCCGCGCAACTTCGTCTGCGTCTCTCAATAGTAATAAATTTTCTCCGTTTTTAAAACATTCTTCATTAGTGCTCCGCTCCTATTGGTCTTAGCGTGATGATATATAGCCTATAGCCTTCCTCGATAAATGGGCTATCTAACACTGAAAGAATTTTTCAAATCGGACCAGTAGTTCCTGAGATTAGCGCGTTCAAACAAACAAACTTTTCAGCTTTATAATATTAGTATAGATTATGCGAAATTGTACCTGCTACCATATCGAAATATGGAAAAGAACGCAAGTAAAAGGCATTGAAACTTCAGATAAATAGTCAAAAGTGGGAGCAATAATGTAAAAACTGACCGTCTTGGAAAACAATAACATAGTAAAGGAAATTTGATAGAACAATTCCGCATCGTATTCAAGTCAATATTCATTGCAACGCTATTCTTTACACCACCGGTGTTTATAAACATACGGGTGAAGGTTTTTGGTAAGATAAGTCATAACCTTATTTTATACAAGCAAATGTGCATGTTGTGTGCGTGTGTAAGCACGTAACGCAACCTCAAAAGTCTAAAGTTCAATCTTACCACCTACTTATATAAATGAGAAAGTTTACGATTTTATTACGATACTAGCTGAGACCCGCGGTGTTACCCGCGTTTGTTGTTATAACCGCGGGCAACGCCGCGGGGCGAAGCTAGTTTAAAAAAGTAGCCTAAGTTACTCATTATGTCATCAGCTATCTGCCAGTGAAAGTCCCGTCGAAATCGGTCCAGCTGTTCCAGAGATTACCCGGAACAAACGTCTGTTTGTATACGTAAATAACATTTTTTACAATTTTTGTCTGTCTGTCACAGACAAAATTGTAAAAAATGTTATTTTGGCATATATACCGTGTAAACATACATATGCATTTAGTCATCATCATCAACAGCCTTTGCTAGTCCACTGCTGGACATAGGCCTGTCCTTAGAAAGGAGGTTTATGCATTTAGTAAAAAGCGGTTATTTTAATATTACAAACAGACACTCCAATTTTTTTTATTTGTATAGATTACTTAACAGAGACATACAGATTTTTAGACCAAACTATTAGCTGTACTCATTTTCTTTTGTATAATAATCTTTGTAGGTATTTCAGGCGAATCAATACACAACACTTCAACGACCTAATAAACTTGAAAAATCAAAACTGGATATCTTTGTTGAAAACTATACGAAACACGAACTAACGAATGGTTATCTGCAAGCCAGTGCGGTATGTTGAAATTAGCATTATGTATGTTTTAGAATGGTTATAAACTGACAAGCACAAGCCTTACACAAGACGACCTTCTATCGTCTTTGACCGCAATCGAGAAGTCTTGTATTTTTTGTTTCTTTTTGCCAGCAGACGTCAGAACATTGCATTTAATAAAAAAAATCGGTTGTCTGTAAAGTCGGTTTACTGACGATAGTTGAACGTGACAACGTCATAAGAAAATACTAATGGAATGGTTGCATTTTTCAAAAGAAAATTTTAATTTTATTTGTTAGACAGATGTCGAACGCTGCCGAACGCGGAGGCCGATTGTGCCTCTTTGTCGCTCGTTCCGCGCTCTCGCTTGCACTTCATGCCTTAAATGGAACGCCTCAGAGCGAGGTAACGCCGCATAAGTCATGTTTTTTCGTGCGTACAGCCGGCTCCATCGAATTATAAGACGTTGTCACGTCAAAAAAACAGAATTAAACCACGGTAAATACTCGTGAATTTCGTCAGTAATATAGTTGGTTAGGGTTTTAAACCAAAATATGTTGGTTTTCACTCACATTTCATTTTTCTCACGGCTTGTGCGTTTGCCAGACTATATTTATTTTCTAAATACTGTTACAGAACAACTGAGTGCCAATGTCTTCGTTTTATTTTATTAACCAGAATAACTTGAACGGTCATTGTATATTGTACCTATAGACTTTTGCACAATGGCTGGTCAAAATATTTTAAATTTATATAACCGTTTTTAAATAATTTTTCAATAATAGTTTAAAATATTTTAGATTTCTGCACTACTACAAATAAACGTTAAGTATTCCATATACATATAAGATAATGTTTCCGTGCGTCATATTCGTTCAAAAGGAATGTAAACAACGAAATTTATTTATAATGGATTAATATGTTTTGATATATGTTTTAACGAAACGAATACTTTGACAAAAAACTAAGTTAAGGAAAGATTGAATTGAAGACAGTTACCAGTTAATGTTTAGTTTTTCTTGATATTATTTCGTATTTAATATTCGAGGTAGGTTAAACAATGAGTTTTGTTTTACTTAAGTTTTACTATACGAATCAGATTCACACTCCGAAAGAATAATTATATCTAGACACGCAAACCGTGTAATTTTGTATCCGGCGCCTTTTTATTACAACAAAATGTTATCAACGTGTTATCAACACGTAAACATTACCATCACAACGATCACCTAACACGTCACAACAACCAAATCACCCCAACTGCTAAGCCCATCACCTACAAAATTTTAAAGAAAATTATAGATTAAAATTTTAAGTGTGTTAGAAAAATAATCCTAATAATTATGTTTTTACAAAAATGTCGCGTGGCATTGACAATATGGTAAAAAAAAAATACCACAGTTTATGAGTACCTACATATTTTGTCGTTCATATACAAAATATTTTCTTATCAGTAAATGTATGTTAGATTAATATAATCCATAATAACTAACAGATAACTGCTATTAGTAAAGAACGAGATATCTTTACAGTTTGATAGTACAACCCTTTAGGAAAAAATTATGTAAGTTATTGACAATACGTAATAAAACTCTAATACTCACGAGGAAGATCTTTGCCTAACCTACAAAAATAATTTAAAAAAAGAATATCACAATGTGCCAAAAGTCAATAGCACTTTTTATTGCATATATTATTTATGTTAATAGCAATATAAATTCAAGGCCACTGGCGTTAGCAAACTAACTATTTAACTGAGTAGCAAACCCAAAACCAATATTTATCACTAAAATAATTTACCGTAGGTAGGTATAATCTTACGTATCAAACATAAGCAAAAAAACTGTTGATTTGGACTGTAAAAGTTTAGTCTATTTAAAAACATGGCGAAATATTAACGTGGGCAAAATAACCCAAATGTTCTTCAATTTATTAATAAATAATATGAAATAACTTACAAACCAACAAATCACTGTGGATAACAATCCTAAAGTGACTTAGGAAGTGATAATTTTCAAGTTTTAATTATCATATCATAATTAGTTGATAACAGGCTTAACAAAATTTCCTATTTAGTTTAATTAATAAATGATGGAAATCCATAGATTGAAAATAAAAGTAAATTCATTACTACAACATACAGTTCATAGTAAGAACTGAGTTTTTTAAATGATTAATTAAATGAACAAGATGAAGTTATTATTATACATGGCAATTTCTCTACAAATAAAATTAAAGTGTCTGTTCGTAATGTCAAAATAATGTTTCTTTTTCATGCTCACATGGTTATTTATACAATACCTATGCCTAAAAACCAGTTAAAATACTTTTTGTCTGTCTGTATCTCCGGGATAATCTTTAAAACGGCTATTTTTTCCATCAGATACACAATACAATTCCAAATCCAAAATCAAATTCCTATACACTTTTCCCGGTCTGGGAAACGAATTCACTAAGGCAACGCTTTTCGAATTCCATGCCACCAGCTAGTTTTGAATAAATATTTAAATAAGGAAATGTCATTTTCTGAGGGAGTGGTTTATAAAAGCGATCAAATGATTGGGATAGATTGTAGCAACATGCTGTGACACAATAAATACTGTCCTAATTCCTTTTTATGATGTTAGTGAATGTTATCTTTAGACATTCTTATAGGACACCCTTCTTAGGCTCGTGTTTCTAAGTAAAGAGTAATAAAGCCCTTTCATAATTGACTAACTGCAATAAGAAAATGGAACATGTATGCTGTATGCTTTTTGTGGTTTCTATACTTGTGTACTGGTAACAATTTATTCTTCAAAACATAGATAAATTATTATATTCAATAGGTTGACAACCAAGTAAACAAAGCTTCCACATTATAACAAAGAAACAACATAATTATAAAAACATAATACATGAACATTCAATAATGACACACACAAAGATATGAAGATATGTGAAAGTGAAACATTCTATAGTTAAACTACATTCTCATAAATATTTTACTTTAAATAAAATGTATAATGCATGTTGCTTGATGATATCTTAATAAAGATTGTAGCAACATTAGGTATGAGGGCTTTTGGCACTTTTCATTTACTCTGATAGTATTTTTTTTTGTAAAAAGTGTCTCTTAGAACATCCCAAGCGACATAAAAAATATTTTTAAGTTGTACCCATGGGTGACTGAATATGTTTATTATATAGACACTGATTTTAATTAACTAACTTTTCAGTTTAGTCAAATCATTTCTATAGTACACAGTAATGGTAATTTCAAAATACTGAACATACAGAAAAATGTATGGATATGACAAACATGTTACCTGGTGTAAACATGCATCCCAAGCAGACTACACCCAATAATATAACCAACCTGTCTTTCTCCAGCCTCGCCACGAAGTTGCCACACTAGCTCAGCACACTGCGCCAGACCAGTTGCTCCCAGAGGATGCCCCTTAGCTATCAACCCTCCACTTGGGTTCACAACTACTCTGCCACCGTATGTGTTATCACCTGCATCAATGAACTTGCCTGCTTCTCCAACCCCACATAACTGCAAACCTTCATAAGTGACCATTTCATTGGCGGCAAAGCAATCATGCAGTTCAACAACATCCACTTGCTTTGGTGATATTCCAGTCTTTTGGTATATGCGCTGAGCTGCCAAAGCTGTCATATCGTAACCAGCAACTTTCATTAAACTATTCTCAGAAAATACAGCAGCCGTATCAGTAGCCATTTCCATACCAATAATTTCTACAGCCTTAGACTGTAGGCCATATTTGATTACAGCTTCTTCAGACATGAGAACTGCAGCACCAGCACCGTCACTGGTGGGGCAACACTCAAGTTTAGTGAGGGGGCCATAGATTTTTCTAGATTTCAATACTTCCTCGACAGTGTATTCACGTTTGCCTTGTGCCCTAGGATTTTTGCAACCATGTCTGTGGTTCTTTGCAGCAATTTTGGCGAGGTGAGTTTCAGTTGTACCATACTTCTTCATGTGCTCAATTGCAGCATTACCAAAATATTGAGCAGTTATGGGGGCCCCTACTAGTTCAGTTATATCTGCCATTTTCAATGTATGTTTATCCAATGGGTTGGTCCTATCCATAAAGGTGCCTTCACTAAGTGCTCCTGGCTGCATTTTCTCGAACCCTACGGCTAGGATTACGTCGGATATACCACCTTCAATAAGTTGTTTGGCCAAAAACAGTGCATTAGAGCCAGTAGAGCAGTTATTGTTGACGTTGTAGATAGGAATGCCAGTCATACCAACCTGGTATAATACTCGTTGCCCGCAAGTCGAGTCTCCGAACACGTATCCACACACAGCTTGTTGAACATCATCATATTTGATGCGAGCGTCGGCAAGTGCAGCGAGTACGGCCTCCTTGCCTAACTCGGGATAATCACCGCCGGTATTGGGCTTAACAAAATTCGTCATACCGACGCCAACGACGTACACTTTTCTAGGCATTTTGGAAAGTTTTATAATTACCTCTTGATATAGACGACAGCTTCCCCGAACGGCGAATTAACAATGAAATAGGATTTGTAGGCAGAGATATGAATACAGCAGAAACAAAAAGTGGGACTTGATAATGATATCAAAAGATAAAACAAAGTCTATTATCTTTAGTAACAAACTAACTACACTAAACTGAATTGAGCGGACAACGACCGAAGACTGCAAAGTCCAACTTTCGCAATTAATACGACGTTGTAAGATTGCTTTGTGTTGATTGGTCAAGAATAGTCACGTGACATGACAGTAATGACACAATGACGGCGGCCGTCGCTGCGATCTAACGTCAGATGCAGCTGTCATTTTACATTGACATTACATTTTTGAGTAGAGAAATATTACCAAAGAGCTTATAAATATTTGTTATATTATCTCTATGAATAATACACATGATATTGACGACAACCATTCTTTTTTAAGAATTTTTGCATTACGAATACATTGTTTCAATTTATAGATTATTAACATGTAATCTAATCGCTCAGCATCGTCTCTTGTAGTAGGGGATAATCCTAAATGGGGATTTACACGAGCATCATGGGGACCTTTTGCATTTTAAAGATATACATTTTAAAGGTATATAGGTAATGTATCCACTCTCAGCGGTGGGAAAAGTTTCGATAGGTTTTCAAAATGAAGAGAGAGAAAATCGTAAAAAATTCGGGCACATCAGATATTTTAAAGATATGTTATTTTAAAGTGTAGCGAAATATCGAAAATGCAAACTACAAATTCGAAAAATCGCCATTTTCGAAATACCCAAGCGTGTTAGATTTATTCTGACGGTTCAGCTTGATTTTTTTTAATTTGGCAGGGTATTTTAAATCTGACTGTTAGTAATATTTTTAATTTTAGATTTTTTATAAATTGTGACAAACAAAGTCAAGAAAAATTATGTAGACATTTAAAGAAGATTTCTAGCATTATTTGCTTCGGAATAAAAAAATGTCAAGATAATGTATTTTTTTGGAACTTTGTGACACTGCTTTATATCAAGTTGAAATCATCTGATTTTTTTAAATACACACTAATTTGTATGTAATTGACTTAATTTATTTAATCTTACACGCTCGAGTATTTCTGGCCATCGATTTTTTTTTAACTAATCTTATTGTCTGCCCTAGACTAGGTGGAGAGGTACTCAACTAAGTGTAAGGTATTCCTCCTATGTTAATCCCCTTCTAGGGCTCGCCTACTATTACTGGTAGCTTTTTCAAAAGGACATCGTGTTTTCTCGACTGCGTCAGAAGGGAGGGTTATGTTTTCGACTGTAATTGTTTTTATATTTCTTAGGAACGGACTGTGGGCTAAACGGCTAAAGGAATTTGTCTTATTTGTGAGAGTTCCTAACACCTGGGTCCATTAAATGCATAAAAATTAAAAAGCCAGTTTTTGGCGCCATTTTTTGTGTCACATTAACTTTTTTCCTAAACCAGTAGTTACTTTTCTTTAGTAGGTATAGAAATAATTACACAGTTCTTGATTAATTGAATGTGTTGTCCCTTTCTGAATCCCATTAACCCTATAAACCCTAACAGTTTGACTTTTAAATACGAATTTTTTAAGCATACTATTTGATTTTCCTTCATACTTTACAACCCAACGTATTGTAGTAAATCCTGTATCGCTGTCGCTTTTACTCTCACACTGTTTACCAATACGGAAAAATAAAGCGGAGCATTAATAGCACGTCGCACAACGAACGAACGTAGACACACAGAGTAAACAATAGGTAGTTTAGTACTGGCTTAAAGTTGACACTGTGTACTAATAGTGCAAAATGTCCGATTAACAGCTGCCTTTCGGAAACATTACTTTTAGTACAATACCCAGTACATCGTACGTGTACTACCCAAGACTACTTTGCAGACCTGTTTTTTGCTTATTAAATGTTACGTGATGTCTTTAGGAAACGAGTCTTTTAACATAATCTTTTTCTAATTTAATATTACTGCTAATATTAATGGTGGAGTGAATTAGTGCATTCCATGCACTAATTCACTCCACCATTTTGACTCGAGTTGATAAAATCAGCGAATTTAAAGTGTAATGATAAGTAACGCAATTATAATGGAGAAGGTTAGTGGGGGGTTAAAAGGTTATTGATAAAATATTAGAATCGTGTTATCTGGAATGTATGACGATGACATTTCAATTAAGAAGTTCTTGAACATTTTAGAACCGATGAAATGCTCTCTAGTGAAATCTCCTCGTTATCACCAATAAACACAATATTCTTCCTATGGTATCCCTCCAATTTGGTACCCTCCTTCTGGCGCAGTCGTTAGATTATATTTCATCTATTTTTTTAGTTCATTTAAATTTACTAAATCTCAGTTTACATCAGTTATACTTATCTAAATATTGCAGCATTTTTTGATTTACATAGTAGATTAGTAACAAAATGTACTTCTTTACAAACTACTAGTACCTTTGGTCAGTTTATGTCCGTGTGGTAATGGTATTCCTCTCCAATCCAATACAGACAAGACAAATGGCCAACTTGCCTCGCCCATTCTATACCTAATTTTTTTAAATTACTGCATAAGTAAGTTAGTTAAGTGGGGTTTTTATAAGAACTTAGAGCAGAATTTTTGTAAATTTTTCCATGCTTCAAAGAATAAGTACTAATGGCTAAATTTCTTTTGGAAAGTTAAACCTCAGAAAATTGATAAACGATAAATCAGTAGGTAACATAAAAAAACAAACCTGCCATTCTTCAACAGCATGTTTTTAAGACCCTTCAAATGGATGAAACTTGAGTCTGCTACCTTGATCATAATGATTAAACTGTGCTGCATGGGTTTATGGGTTTAACAAAAGCAAGTAACACCTGTACTGTTTTTTGCCCCCAGATTCACACTGATTAGTAGTGAAGACTTTCTTTACGAACTCAATATGCCAAGTACTTTATAGTATTGTCAAATCATTTTAAAATTGGTAGTAGCTGAGTGTATAGATAGAGGTATTTATTTGTCAACCACATTACCTGGTCCAAAACATGCATCCCGATCAGAGTACACCCAATATTAAAACCAACCTGTCTTTCACCAGCCTCACCACGAAGTTGCCACACTAGCTCAGCACACTGCGCCAGACCAGTTGCTCCAAGAGGATGACCTTTAGCTATCAACCCACCACTTGGGTTCACAACTACTCTGCCACCATATGTGTTATCACCTGCATCAATAAACTTGCCTGCTTCACCAACCCCACATAACTGCAAACCTTCATAACTGATCATTTCATTAGATGCAAAGCAATCATGTAGTTCAACAACATCAACTTGCTTTGGTGATATTCCAGTCTTTTGGTACAAACGTTGAGCTGCCAAACATGTCATTTTGTAACCAGTGAGATTCATGAAACTATTCTCAGTAAATAATTCAGGTGTATCAGTGACCATTTCCATACCAATAATTTCTACAGCCTTTGACTGTAGGCCATATTTGATCACAGCTTCCTCTGACATAAGAACAGCAGCCCCAGCACCATCACTAGTGGGGCAACACATAAGTTTAGTAAGGGGGCCATAAATTTTTTTAGATTTCAAAATTTCTTCAACAGTGTATTCACGTTTTCCTTGTGCCTTTGGATTTTTACAACCGTTTCGATGGTTCTTTACAGCAATTTTGGCAAGGTGGATCTCAGTTGTGCCATACTTGTTCATGTGTTCTATTGCAGAATTGCCAAAAAATTGTACAGGTATGGGGGCTCTTACAAGTTCACTCATCTCTGCCAGTTTCTGTATATGTCTGTCCAATGGGCTGGTTCTATTAATAAAATTGTTGTGACTGAATACCGGTTGCATTTTCTCGAAACCTAAGGCTAGAATTACATCAGATATGCCACCTTCAATTAGTTCTTTGCCCAAAAATAGAGCATTAGAGCCAGTTGTGCAGTTATTGTTGATATTATAGATGGGAATGCCGGTCATACCGACCTCGTATAATACTCGCTGCCCGCAAGACGACTTCCCGGACACGTATCCACATATTGCTTGTTGGATATCCTCATATTTGATACATGCGTCGGCAAGGGCAGCAAGTACGGCCTCCTTGCCTAACTCGGGATAATCACTATCACTATCGGGCTTAATAAAATTCGTCATACCGACGCCAACGACGTATACTTTTCTAGGCATTTGGAAAAGTTTTGTGAAAAGTTTAGAGACGACTGCTTTCCCGAACGGCTTATTAAACAGTGAAATAGGAGTGAAGGCGTAGATATCAATATAGCATAATCAACAGCTTGAACTTAATAACTATATTTACTGATAAAAGACCTTCTGTTATCTTTACTTAAAAGGGAATTAAACCACACTAGATTGAACAAAGCTGAACAACGATTGCAATTTGCGGGATTTGATTTTCTTTCTTTCTTTTAAAAAGACAACTCCCGCATTAGGAATAAATCCTGGGGGGACTTTACAAATATACAAGAAAAGAACACAAAGTACACCCAGACTCGGAACAACAATTTGTGGATCACACAAAGTGTTGTCCCATGTGGGGTTTGAACCCATAACACTCAGCGCAATAGGAAGTGGCGTGGCGACCGCTTAAACCACTACGCTATCCGTGCCAAGTCAGTGAGTTTGATTGGACAATCAAGCTGGGATGTTAGATTGTGGGCGAGCCAAAGCTGGTATACAATGTCATTAAAATGCTCTTAAAGCTGGTTGAAAAGAAAAGTTGGTACACACAATACCGTTATATAAAAAAATAGTAAAAATAATATAATAAAAAAAAAATAACTCATCGGTAAGCTATTTAGCTTTCGATCAGTTAATATGCGAGAGATGCGAGAGTGATGCCCTTTGTGAAACAGGCTTTCTTGAGGACTACCATTAGTCAACAGTACATGTCATCTCTCTCCCAAAAAATTTAGACCAATCACATGATTACCAACCATGTATAAAACACTTTAGACATTAATAATAATAGATTTATTTTTAATGTGTAAAGTAATTTTGTTGTTTCTCAGAATGTATGTAGAATCCGTGGTACTAAGAGCTCCTTATCATAGATAGGACCATTAGCCAACATGCGTACACTGCTGACTGCATTCCGAATGCACCACCCACGTTCATCGGTTAATTAGATTGTACGAGTATATGTCGCTGACTATTACCTATATTATAACAGATAACACGGTTCAATATACGTCGGTTAAAATTAAAAAAAAAATGTGCGAAAATACAAATATGCAAATTTAGAACAAAATAAATACAAAGAAAATATTGCCGAATTAAAACACCATTGTTAACATGAGTCGGTGAACTGTAACCTACTAATCAATTCACTAGCTTTTTAAAATCAATTTATTAAAGATACCATTTCATTCACATGTTTATTTGGGTGTTTCGCCTAGTTCGTGCAAATTCAGTGAAAATTCTAAATTTCAAATTATTGTCAAAAAACTTAATTTTTTTTTCTTATTTCATTACTATATAGTTAATTCTTCAACCTTTTATTGTTTCTACCTTATTTTTGTGAAAAACAATGAAATTATTAGCATATCAAAAATTGGAATGAGATAGTAATGAGAATGTTAAGGAGGGGAATGATTTTGAGCCGTTAGCTGTGGGAAATAGGGGTGCGAAGGTAATTGAGATACACAGAAGGGAATGACACAAAATTTTGTTATACAAAGATGCATTTTTAATATTTATGATTCAAGAATCTAATTGCTATAGAAATAATGATCATAACATAATATGGGCCATTTCTCCATGCCTTCCTTAAAAAAAATTCGTTATTAATCCAATCAAAATCTAATTTATCTAAATATTTATATTAATTACTAATATTTGGTAATCCGAGATCAAGAATAAGAAAAGTCTCTCTTAACAAAATCTTAAAATCATTTCACAGATTTGTATTTTCTTTGTCGGTGTCATAATTCCAAAAGTCAATTACTCGTAATTTCTGCTTCTGCTTTTCATATATTTCGTCTTTATTTTCTTTTGTGTAATTTTCATTACTACTCTTACCCATAATAAACTTTTCAGTCGGTTTGATAATTATTACTAATTTGTTTTTTTTAGCAAGGTTTTCCTTATTAATGTAAAAATTTATATTTTCCCAATCAGTCAACTTTATATCCGACAGTATTTTAACCTTTGGTGAGTACGGTCTATTTGGCAATTTATCTTCGAATCTGATTGATGGCTCGGAACGAGTAATTGAAAAATCTGGGTTGCTGATTTCTTTTATGAGTTCTGGTGTTGTATTCTCATCAATGAAACTCTGAAACTGGCTAGAATTGACGTCATCATGAAAAGTATTCCTTTTTATGATGACGTCAACTCTAGCCAGTTTCCAATATGTTTATTTCCATAGTATCCAATATGTTTGCCGTGAATGCAAGTAACTTCTTTGTCACACAGAAAACAACTTAATTTTCTTAAAGTAATTTTAGAACATCCAAATGCCCAAAGAGCTTAGTGTACCATCATTGTACCTTTGGCGGCTTTTAAGTTTGTTGGAAAATTTCTTGTTTCAATGTCATATCTTGTTACAATACGTATCTCAATCTTTACTCTAGGTATAAGACTGGCTAGGAATGTTTCTAAGGAGTTCACGTCACTGCCAAAACGAAGTACTTGATCTGCTGTTCTTTTGAGAACAGCGCCAACTCCGTCTGGTGCTCCTTTTCCATGTCCACCTTCAAATAAGTTCCAGGTCACAGATTTTAGTTGCGGAAAATCGCAATACAGGTGGCTGATCATATAAAAAATAAAACTTGACTTGTTGGACTGTCGGAAACAAAATGTACTGTGTCAATATGGCTTGAAAGCTCCATCACATACGCAATAGTCGGTATCAAATGTGCCCAGATAGCTGCTGCATCGTGTTGGGTACATTCACTTACTGTGCAAAAGCTATATTGTTTTTGAATTCCAACTTCTGGATCTATCAAATAGATAACACATGTGTGCAATGATAACTGCATCCTACTTCCACCACAATGAAAACTCTGCTTTTCCTCGTTATATTTTACGCAGTAGTTCTCACTAAAGTCAATATGAATCACTTATGGATTAAGATTATTTTTAAGCTCTTTAATATTTCTATACTGAGTTAAAATATTAGTGCAGTGTTTCATATAGCCAACGAGAGAGTTTTTAAATTTTGAAATATAATGTTTCGTTTTGTCAACAAATCAACATTAACGTGAACTTTGCAAGCCCACATATTTCTGCTTGATTCCTTTGGGTATAAAACCCAAAATGGACGATATTTACAAAAGGTTTGATGCGTTACCTTGACATTTGAATTATGCATAAACTTCTTGTAAAGATTAGTCAAAGTGTCTGTTAAGTATCTTTTCTGCTTTCTTATTTTGTTTCTAGTAATGTATTCTCTTTTATCAGCTGCAATTCTAGTTACTGCGTCATCATCGAAAAACTCCAAAATTAATTGCTCTGTTAAGTTCTCACTCTTATGTGTTTGCGTCAAGAGCTTATATTTTTAATGTTTTTCTTTTTCCGTCATTACCACATTAGAAAACTCTTTTTTATCTTTTTTTTTCAAACACGTATACCCTTTTTGAACACTACTTCTAAGGATTTCGCTAAACATTAGTTTCTTTTTAATTTCTTCACGTTTTTCAATGCCTTTATTTTGTACCAAATATTCTACTTTTTCTTCAGCCGTTATATTTGCATTTTTCTTCTCATTTTTCATTACTCTATTAAACATTTTTCTAATGGCGTCTTTCTGTTTTTTTCATTTTTTCTATGTCTTGTTTCAAAATGCCGATTTCTTTTTTATGTCGGTAGCGAAGCTTTCTTAGAAGGACATTCTTTTTTAGGCACTGTTGACAAGAGTTATGGTTACCGGAACCCCAACAATTTAAGGAAGAACTTGGTAATGGGCTTACAGTTGGTCTAGCGAGAGGATCTTGTTTCGCTGAGATTACTTCAATGTCACTATTTATTGGAGAATTCTCTAGTAATAGCTGTTGTATAACTTTTTCTTTCTCTTTCCTTTCGTAGTGACGTTTCGAATTAACTCCATGTTTTTCTTTGGACTCTTAATTGTCTCGGTGTCATATCTGCTGCGCTTTTTATATTTTCTGTTCTTTTGTTTTAAGATATCTTACTCGTTCTTTTGCTTTCTCTTTTGCATACTTTTCGGGGTCTTACTTTATTTCTGCATATTTACTTTTTTTTGTAGTCGATCTCGCTCTCGTTTCTGCTCCAATGTTTGTTTGGTTTTCTTTGGCATCCTTAGCGATCTATAGAAGTAATGTTTTATTTGCTTTATTTATTTTTATTATGCTTTATTTTTTTAAATTATAATAATTGTATTTTTTTGCTTAGCCAGTTATCGTCACAGTTGGCAAACATAATTTTGCAAAACGAAAGTAGCAAATAAAAATGAACTAACATAATATACATTCTAATTGCCATCGTATTAATCTCATCACCATCGCTCAAAAAAAACGACGGTAAACGAAGGCACTGAGAAAGAAGGTAATGAGGTTTGAATACTTTATCCATAGTTTCCCAAAAAATATCAAAGTAACGGACCTAATGCATATTTTAAACGACAAAGGTATCTATTAAAATTTAAAATTAGCTGCACACTGAATAAAATCATAAATACTCACTTAATAGTGTGGACGATAGGAAAGAGTACGATTCCAGAATAATCACCTCCCGCAAAACTCTAAACGAAAATATATTTTTGCCACGAACAAGCATGCACCTGCTACGATGTTTGCCAGCCAAATGAGAGATGTGCGCGGGGTATGGTAACAGCAAAGAAGCATTTAAGGGCAAACCCAGACTGCAATTTACACTTTCTTACGAACCGATGGTTAGCAGAAAAAAAATATGCTAAACATATCGCAGTCCCCGACGAACAAAATCGTAATAGGAAAATAACAATTTTACAGGAGCAAATAAAAACTGAATATCTTGAATACTAACAAGACTAAAAAGAAGATTCTTTTATCAAAAATAAGGAAATATTTTTTTGCACTAGATTTTTACTAAAGAACAATGGCAGAAACATATTTACCTAAAACTGAAGCGTTTAAAAAATTGACTAATAGTAAACTTACTAAATATTTTTTCTATGATTTATCATTATACCGCCATGTGTTGTATAAGTCTAATAAGAGATTGGATATTTTTAAAGATTTTATTTGACCTAAGTACGTAATGTCAGAATCGCCATCACCAACTGACTAGGGATGCGTGATGACATTATTATATTATGGAACGTTTTATCGAAAATCGATTGTTATAACTTTGGCTTGAAATATCTATCGAAGTTTTACCTATTATGATTATGAATTTGCTTCTGCCCACGGGTTTACTCATACGCTATCGTAACTAGTACTGTAGTGACTAAATCAACCTAATTAGAAATAATTTAGAATATTTTTGACTCTTTTTAAAAGATTTTTGCTACACCAAAATAAATAGAATATAGTTACGTTATTTTCCTACAGAAAAATACTAAAACAATATACTGGTTAGTGTGATAAGAAAAAGACATTGTAGGTTGATAACGGCACATAAATAGACATATATCGATATTTTTAAAATGTCGATACGTCGTCGTCGCACTTACTAGTCTTGTCGTTTGACACTTACACGCATGACTTACATTCCATTTCTCACAAGGCAATTGTAGTTTGTTTGGTTGTTTCACTTTTGTTTAGTATTAAACTCTCATAAATGTTTATTTTAATTTTAATTTCATATAGTGTTACTCCAATATGCATGATGTGATGCCTTAAAATGTTGTGCATTAATCTCAATAAAATTAATGCATGCTTTTAGTAAATAATGTCACAACTACTGACTGTTGAATGACTAAATAAATAAATAAATGCTCCCGCCTTGTTTAAATGTGTATTGAAGTACATTTATTCAAATTATTATTAATAATTTATTTATTTATAGCTAGTATTACACCTGCTATGTAAGCGAAGATTTTTTCAATTGTTTACCAATAGATGCCAAGCAAATACCCTTCTTTCCTTCACCCATTTAGAGAGTCGGCTAACACTTTCTACAGCAAAATAGGGTTGCTTATAAGTAATAATAATGATGAATAATATTTTCGAATATATGACACACAACGCCATCTAGTTTCAAACAAAACATTGACAATATTTTAGTACTTAACCTCGAAACATTCAAAAGCCAATATCTTTTTTCCTAGACTTCTTTCGCTAGTAATTTTTTTATGAGAATGTTCAAGAATAAATTCTCAAGGGTTTTAGGCATTTTTGATATTTAAACGCTGTCATTTCACTTCAAATAAAATTATGTATGGGGACCTGCCATTGTTCTTTCAGTAAGAAAATTGTGAAAATGTCCATTACTGAAATAAGCTATGGAAAAAATTAACGCAAACTAACTTTACGATAGTGTTCGACTGTAATCACAAATCGGTGTTGCTGTAGTAATCGTTCATTATGATATTGTTCCATGATAAATATGAATATACTTTATATTCGTAAAATGACATTGCAATCGTATTCGATGATATAACTGACTTTAATATTACGGTAAACATAAATTACATGCTTATTCGATGATTATTTTTAGGTGTTATAACCATTTCGGTACCTATGTATAAATTCTGATTCTGATTCTGTCATTTTTCCCTCGAACAATATGGTAATAGCCGCTTACTCTAAAATGTTGACTTTTGAGATTTGGTAATAGGTTTTTGCGTTATTGATCGTGTAAATTTTTCACTTATGTTATACGTTGAACAAAAACATAAAGATCATTATTGAATGGATAGATCCAAAAGTATTCATCGCCCGATCATAAAAAAAATTCAATGATTGTAATAGGGTGTGTAGATAACGAATATCTAATAAACCCGATTCTATCGTAATAGCGATTACCATAGTGTTCGTCGGGGACTGCGATATATAAAATAAAATTTCATTGTATTGTTGAGTTAATATTAATTATTTTAAGTTCAAACGTTGCTCTTGTTAGTACAGTTTCTTAAAATTATTACTTTGTTAAGGTTTGATATTTATATTTTAGGTTTAAATACAAATTTAATAGGGAGAATAGCAAGTGGACACCGAAGTAAATGAGATTTAGCAAAGTTTTTTACGTATAACACATTAAATAAGCTATGTGGAACAGTAAATGTTACATGCATATAAGCACAATTTTATAACATATGATTTGATTTAAAAGAATCATAGATATTTATTGAAAAAATTAAGATTTTTGCAATGGACGCCTAATTTGCACGAAAAATGAGAAACACCCATTTCGGGAATGCTCGACTAACTTTGGACAAGGCAGTACGTGTCACTCTTTGAAAAAGTATTTATTATATTCCGAATGCACCACCCACGTTCATTGGTTATGAGATTATATTATTATATCCCACGAAAGTTTGGCGGTCGCGGACTATTAAATATCAAGACCCTACACAATGGCGAGACATACAATATTAGAAAATATTTTCTACATACTGATCTGAGAGTGTATCACAATCTAGTTGCAGTGGATACCGGATTTACTCCGCTCACTCTGGCTTAAGAGAATTGGCGCAAACCTGTAGTACTTAGTACCATTAATCGCAGGGAATTATGGAAGGGCAAAGAGCTCCATGGTCGGTTTTATCGGGCCCTTAACGGGTCCGATATAGACTTAAAAGCATATTTGTGCGATTATGGACGAAGTTATCATGACGCATAACTATTGGAAAATCGGGTACGGTGGCCAGTCGGGCATGCCACCGTACTGGGGAATCAATCAGGCAAATTATTTCTGGTTGTTCTCGTCTCGCTAATGGTTTAACAAATATTTGCACGGGCACAACCAAGTAGCCAGGATCGTACACCAACAGCTTGCCCTTAAATAATAACTTGTGAATCTAAAGGTGCCATACTAGAGGTATGTGCCCGACCCAGTTCTCGAGGTTGGTCGGGCGCCACGTTGTATTGGGAGCGATCTATTATCACAGACAGGACTATTCGTGCCAATAAGCCAGATATTGTGGTGAGAGATCGACTAGAGCGTCGCGCAATGATTGTTGATATCGCCGTTCCTCATCACGAGAATCTCGTGAAAGTTGAAAAAGAATAACAAATAAAATATTTGGATTTATCTCACGAGTTTGTCAATATGTGGAATATGGATTTAGTAATCACTGTTCCTATACTCGTATCAGCTTACGGATTGATAGCCACGAGCCTCGACCAACACCTTAAGAGGCTTACGTTAGACGGCTGGATCAAGGATCTGATGTAGAAAGCAGTCCTTAACACGGCCCGTATTGTGAAGGTTCCTGTCTTTGGAGCCCTAACCACAGGCGTTTGGGTCCCTGTACCCGATGTCGGTGGTCTACTTCTTTTAAATGTTTTTTTTTCTTTTGTAATATATTTTAAAATGTAATCGATAAGTATATATATTGTAATAAAGAGAATAATAATAGTGAATCGTTTATTTTGTATGTTCTTTTAAATAAAATTTGGAATGGTCGTAGAAATCCCTGTTTATTTAAAAAAATATCTGGTAAAATATTAACAATAATACTAACAATATTAGTTATTATTAATAGTATAATTAATAATTTATATTTTTATTATTAGATCATAAATGTCTATAGATAACTTGAAAAAAATATAATAAAAAATCAACCGTGAGTTACATTGACCGAATTTTCATATTATTTTCTGACAAAATCATACCCATACGTCATACATGGATAATACGCTCGCTTGATAAAGTAAATCTGAAGTAAGTTAGCCAATGGGTCAAAAATAAAATATCATTATGAATAGTAACTTTTTGTAAAAATATATGACTATGACGTACTGCAAGAATTTATATATTGTTAGATATAAGTTTTTTTTTTATGTAGGATCAATGTAAAAAGTCTGTATTATTGCGTACCAACACAATATTTAGTTGGTACATGGTACAAGACACTGAAAAATGACTTCGATTCGTCAATTTAGTCAGAAAGTTATGGGGACCTTGCGATCACTCTACGATTTAAAAACCTTCACCCGACTAGTACTGAGAAAGGCTCAGTATATGGCCCTTATCATCACCTATCATCAATTTTGGTGATCTATGCTTTGAATATAGATCAGCTCAATAAACTTAACTGACTTTTCAATATTTGCATTCTGTTCGTATGAGAGAAGTATCCTAAAGTGTTTGTGATTGGTGACTGAAACAATCACATACGAGTACATAATTGCATTAAGTCCGCCGATGCACAAATTTGTGCATAAAGTCATAAATAAATAATAATAGAACGTCGACCTGCGATGTTCTTAAACAACAGAACAGAATTAAAACTATTAAACTCATAATGAGCCAAGTACTTCACAATATTGTTAAATTATTTTACCAGAATACCAAATAGTAAATGCTGAGTGTATAGAAAATGGTATTTACAAGTGAATCCCATAGCCTGATGTAAAATATGCATCCCAAGCAAAGTACACTCAATATTATAACAAACCTGTCTTTCTCCAGCCTCACCACGAAGTTGCCACACTAGCTCAGCACACTGCGCCAGACCAGTTGCTCCCAGTGGATGACCCTTAGCTATCAAGCCTCCACTTGGGTTCACAACTACTCTGCCACCGTATGTGTTATCACCTGCATCAATAAACTTGCCTGCTTCACCAACCCCACATAACTGCAAACCTTCATATGTGACCATCTCATTAGCGGCAAAGCAATCATGCAGTTCAACAACATCCACTTGCTTTGGTGATATTCCAGTTTTTTGGTATATGCGCTGAGCTGCCAAAGATGTCATATTGTAACCAGTGAGAGTCATGAAACTATTCTCAGTGAATAATTCAGGTGTATCAGTGACCATTTCCATACCAAGAATTTCTACAGCCCTTGACTGTAGGCCATATTTGATTACAGCTTCCTCAGACATGAGAACAGCAGCACCAGCACCATCACTAGTGGGGCAACACTCAAGCTTAGTAAGAGGGCCATAGATTCTTCTAGATTTCAAGACTTCTTCGACAGTGTAGTCACATTTTCCTTGCGCCTTAGGGTTTTTAGAAGCATGTCGGTAATTCTTTGCAGCAATTTTGGCAAGATGGATTTCCGTTGTGCCATACTTCTTCATGTGTTCCATTGCAGCATTTCCAAAACCTTGTGCAGTAATGGGAGCCTCTACAAGTTCAGTCATCTCTGTCATCTTTTGTAAGAATCTGTCCAATGGGTGGGTTCTATCTCTAAAGTTGGTAGGACTTAATGTTGGTTGCATTTTCTCGAACCCTACGGCTAGAATTACATCGGATATGCCACCTTCAATGAGTTGTTTGGCCAAAAACAGTGCACTAGAGCCAGTGGCGGCATTATTGTTCACGTTGTGGATAGGAATGCCGGTCATACCAACCTGGTATAACACTCGCTGCCCGCAAGTCGAGTCCCCGAACACGTATCCACACACAGCTTGTTGAACATCATCATATTTGATACATGCGCCGGCAAGGGCTGCAAGTACGGCCTCCTTACCTAACTCGGGATAATCACTATCACTACCAGGCTTAATAAAATTCGTCATACCGACGCCAACGACGTATACTTTTCTAGGCATTTTAAAGTTTTATGTTACCCCTTACACAGATGATAACACAAGACTACAATAGTCGACAACTTTCACGAACGGTTGAATTAACTGTGAACGGAGTGTGGATTTCAAGCATAATATTAATGAACAGGTTGACCATGAGAATTAACTATTTACGGATAGAAAAACTCTGTTGTCTGTAGTAATAACAAGACTAATATTACTATGTAGTAGTTTTATACTGATAAAGTCATTGTTTAAAATAACTAGGTAATTTCACTGACAGCTAATTATAATAATAAAGCTTTATTAGAAACTAGAACAAAGGAAACAGTGACATTTTATGCGAAAGTGTCTGCATTAGTTAAAAGAACTGTGTCGCAGACATTAACGCCACCTCCGGCCTGAGGCCGTCAGAGTTCCATTAATAACCGTATAAAATTAACAAAATAAAACTAAATCAGATCATAAATTGTTAGTAAGTCTCTCTGTGTGTGTGTGTGTGTGTGTGTGTGTGTGTGTGTGTGTGTGTGTGTGTGTGTGTGTGTGTGTGCGTGTGTGTGTGTATGTGAGTGTGTGTTACTGAGAGGGTGGAGAGTTTTGGAGGAAATTTCTATTTGCAATTATGTGGTTTAGCCATAAGTTCAAGTTCTTCATAGTTCAGGGTGTGCAGCCATTCATTTGTAACTAACTTGCAAGTCCTAAGCGTAACTGGATTGACATTCAGTATTCTATTTACTCGGTTGTATATAACAGGGCTAATCAATCGATCTCAAAGCTGTTGTTTGTGTGTTATAATTAATTCTTATTGATTTTGTTAGAAAAATTAAACCGCGTAATTACAAGATTTTATTGTAACCCGAGTTAGTAAAAAAAACTGATCTTGACATGATTTAAGTTTATTTTTGTTTATATTAATGCAATAATGCTTTTCTTCTCATAAGGCTCAACCCCTTGGAAACAGGGGGTTGTGGATCGGCACAGGCTTATCATAGATTTTAAATTTATTTTTTTAACTATTTGACAAAACAGAGATTGTTGCTATTGTGTGTGTGTGTTGATCTACTACTTTAGTCTACATAAGATAGAAGTCTACATAGATTTCAAACAATTTTAAAGGTTTTATGAAATATTTTGAGCTTGAATTTGAATAAACAACAAATTGAATTTTATTTGATGGCAAGTGACTACCGCCGGCCATGAACGCCTGCAACTCAGGAGTCACAAGCGCCGCAGAACGACCTCCGTCCTCCATAAGCGCAGGCCTGGGGGTGACAGGTGAGGCCATCTGTCACCCTAGCAGAAGCAGGCCGGAAGCGAGCGCATTGCGAAGCGCGGAGCGCGAAGCGCAGAGGGAACATGGGGTTCCCACACGGGGGGGGGGGGGGGTCGTCTACTCGTCTGTAGATGGCCCGAGGTATGTTGGGGTACCAGGGACTTCCTTTCTAGGGTATACCTGGTTCCCCGGCTATTGGTACCCGAGACGGCGTGCGGTTTTAGTCGGTTTGAGTCCGACATGCCACCGGTAGGTGGTATCCGAGGGGATTTCCGCACGGAAAAAAAAAGGAGTCACAAGCGCCTTGCCGGCCATTGAGGTTGGCTGCTGACGAATGTTTTTATCGCTTGGCCCCTCTTCCAAAAAAAAGTATAACTACTTTTTTCAAGGTTATCTAAATATCTCTGAATATACATACATATATATATAATAAATATGGGGTCTACCAATAAGAACGTCCTGGTTTAAAAATTGAATAAAACACACAATTTTTTATGAAAAATGCATCCGATTGATTTATTTGATAGATAATTTTATGCAATTTATGTTTTAAATAATATATCGGCCAAATGACCGCCGAGGCTCTTTTTGCAGACGGTCACCCGCTCACGCCAAGTTTCGATGACGCGGTGCACCATTTCGGCCGGCGATCCAACATTCGACGAGCCATAGCCGACAGCTATGGCTCGTCGAATGTTGGTTTTTAGGTCACGAATTGTAGCTGGATTAAAGTGAAACGTGACATGATAAAATGGCAAACCTTACTGAACACAAATGTCAAGAGACGTCAAAGATCCATCATCAAACTTGACCACTATGAGCTGTCAAAACCAGGTCATCCCTATTGGTAGACCCGTTATATCTGATAATTAGGTTCTATTAGAGGGCTCTAACTTCCCGGCTCTTGGGGGTTCATGATGATGGACCCATGGCCACAGTTATTGTTACTGCTAGAAAGATAAAGGACTAATAAAACGAGCCATATATTATCCGACATATCCAGATAGCACTACAGTATTAAAAACCCTCAACAACGGGCCTAATCTGCGAGTGCTATCAGCACTTTACTGAGTATAATCAAAGAAGCTTTGTCAGCAATGGATGAGCGGACGAATTGGCAAGGAGCAGTTGGAAGAAATGCGCTAAAGGTTGAGAACTCATAGATTATTTGAGGATATAGAAGTTATTCGTTGCTTAAATCATCAACAATTTGGTCACGCACAAAGGTTTTGCACCATAAAGCTCCTACTTGTGCTAAGCCGCCGCAGCCGGACACGAAACACGAGCTTATCCAAACAAACATACAAAATTTAAGCCAACGTGAGCACAGTGCAGGCGGTTCAAAAAACATCTGACTTTTTATGCGGCTTACAGGATTGTCCTACATACAAATTTAAACAAGAGCAGCTAATCTTAAACACCAATATATAATAATAATATAATATTCTACCACATTCACACAACGCCATCTAGTCCCAAACTAAGCAGAGCTTGTACTATGGGTACTAGACAACTGATATAAATACTTATATACTTTTTTTTGTAAATACATACATATTATACACAGAAACACCCAGACCAAATCAAACATTACATGTTCATGCACACAAATGTTTGACTTGAGCGGGAATTGAACCCGCGACCATTGGAATAGCAGTCCGTTACACAAACCACTACGCCATCCGGTCGTCGCCATCTTAATATAATAACTCAATAGCCAATAGGGCTTCATAACGATAATAGCCACATCAGCATTAGACCGTTTCATTTTATAACAAAAGTTTAATATTGTCCTTATACTCATATAAGAACAATATCAGAGCTCTCGCTTGCATGATAATATAGTACAACTAGTTTGGCGGTCGAAGCCTAGGATATATTTTGCAAGTTCTAATATTACATTAACATCATTGCGTAATCTTATGAGTAGAACAAACAGCAGAATATCTTTTAGAATCACTTGTACCTGACGATCGGCAAGCAAATTACACTGATCATCACCGACAAATCAGGCAGTGAACCATCGAACCATCACTGTTTCCAATGTTTGACTTGCCATCTTCAGACGAATTTCTCCGCATTGTTAGACCCTTGCCGCTAAATAAGGCTTCGACGATGAAATATCAAAGAAGCTTGAAAACTTTTGGGTGACACAATCTAGAATGTTTTTAAATGTTACATTGCTCAAGGAATATTGCCACATTTTTGGCGGTGCGATAATATTTGTACAATATCAAAAAGCGGCGACCAGCCGCTGGATGATCCTAAATCTTACCGACCATTTACATTGCTATAATCGTTAGGTAAGCTTTTATAACGTCTTGTAGTGCCCCGGATTCTGCCGGGTTGAGGTTATTTTCATTAAAGACAATTTGGATTTACGTTGGGGAAATCGACAATTGATGCGGTTATATCGATTGAGAATAAATAAATAATAAATTTCTTTATTGCACAATATACAAGTATGTACCTACATAATAGTAGAAACCTCAATAGAGTACAGAAAAACTTAATTATAGTGTTCTGCCGGTACTTAAAATAGAATATCCTGTGCTGTAAGTACCAGCAACCTTCCAGTTTTACAGCTAACCTAAATAAATCTCTAGTGGTTACAATAAGAAAGTAAACCTACTGTATACGGGATGTGAGGGAATGTGTGGTGTATCTACATATATGTGCATTGCATGTATATTGTGTGTGCTTTTTGTGTGGGCGTGCGTGTGTGAGAGCATTTGTGTTGGCTATTTTCTTAGATATATCTAGCGCCTTCGACAACGCATGATGGCACATGCTATTGCTGAAATTAAAATCACGATGGGGCTTTTAAAATATTTATTCCCTTATCTCTTCGTACTTTTCACAAGGTACAACTAAACTAAGACTTGGTCATCATTCTGTGTCGAAGGCGCTTAAAATGGGATGCCCTCAGGTATCAGTGTTAGGTCCATACTTGTGAAACGGCTTCGACGATTTCTTGCAGGACCAATACCATCCGGATGTACTCTGAAAGTGTATGCTGATGACGGTTTAATATTGGTGGAATCCCATAGATGTTTAAACTTAATATCTCATTATGGTGAACGTAATCGCTTAACTTTTGCACCCAACAAAACCTTCTGGCTACTTTTAAAAGGAAATCTCAAATCAACGCCTCGAATAAAATTTGACAATGCCTACTTTGTAGAATATGCATTGAGGCAGTCGAAGTAGCGACCCATGTGCTAATGAACTATTAGAGGGTTGCGGTGTATCTTGGCAACCAGAGTCACTCTCTGAGATCATTGGTAACGTAAACTGTTCCTGTTACTAGTGCTCTTTATAGATATAAGTAATTAGGGTAGCTCGAGTGGTTTATATATTAATATAATAATATAATATATTCTACCACATACACACAACGCCATCTAGTCCCAAACTAAGCAGAGCTTGTGCTATGGGTACTAGACAACTGATATAAATACATATATACTTTTTTTTTTGTAAATACATACATATTATACATAAAAACACCCAGACCAAATCAAACATCAAATGTTCATGCACTCAAATGTTTGACTTGAGCGGGAATCGAACCCGCGACCTTTGGAATAGCAGTCCGTTACACAAACCACTACGCCATCCAGTCGTCATATATATACGCTTTGAAGAGGTGTTGCAGAGAACAGCCCTTTCAAACCAAACCAAACATATACCCCTAAGAATTAGGGTATAAAAATCAATAGAAAAATATCGTATTCTCTGCTACGATAATGGAATAATTCAGTTTATTTAAGTCCGTGCAATGCGAGCGATTGTATAAAAACCTTATTTTCTAACACCTTACATTCGAACAAATGTCATCATTTAAAATTGTGATAAAAATAATTTATAGAGAAACAAAACACATCGTGACATTACTAAATTTTTATGTAATAGAAATTATTATTATCCAAAATTTAAGTTTGTTGAACAATTTACAGTGTTAAAATTTAAAGTTTTGTACAAATTTGTGCGCTTTAGGATATGGCTCTCGATAAGCAAAAAATATTAAACGAGTTAGGGAGTGTGGTAAATCAATTACAAAGCGCCAACTGGTGAGTAGTTACAGTCCTGATCTGGCAATGTGTTAACAGTATATGTAGGTATACATACAAGTACAGTATTTATTATGTAAGTTCACTATCATTTTGACCTCTGCAAAAATAGCCTTTATTTCTGCTACATCTTATACTTAAGATTACTACATATATTATTACAACGTTTACTTTAAGATGACTATAATATTAAGTAGGTAGGTTTGTAGTTTGAAAGGTTAAATTATTTTTAACTTCAATTACTAGTAGTAGTCGCCTGTTTGGCGTACGCTTGTCCTAAACCTTTCCACGTATCATGTTCCCATGTCTCTCGCAACCTTAGAGGTCCACATCTCTGGTTAAAGATGTCATTCCACCTTTTACTTGGTCTTCCTCTTTTTCTTTTGTGTCTCTTGGTATCCATTCTGTAAGGCGTTTTGCGCATCTGGTATTATTCATCCTACAGGTGTGTCCTGCCCAATGCCATGAGTGTTCTTGTTCTTTTCCTTACATCTATTTTTTTTCTAATGCTGATATTGCAGACCATGGCTGATAGTTTTAGACAGAGCATGTTTATTTCCATCTTACGTTGGCAATTCTTTCTTCGTCTTCTTTTATCAATAATTCAAAAACGTCTGACATTATGTTAGGCTAGGCAATATCGTTATCTCGTAAAGTTTTTTCTTAATATTTGATTTCGTTATTTTTCATTATTTCCCTAAATCCCTAGTATTTATTCCAGACGAGTTATCCTTCTTTCTATTTCTTTTGCTGTGTTGTTTTGAAATGTTAGGTCCTAGTCATCCTAGTAACTAGGATGACTAGGACCTGGAATTCCCCAAGACATGCAGTATTGATGAACTAGGACCTAGTTCATCAATACTGCATGTCTTGGGGAATTCTTGTCTTGTAGCTAAAAATATATCGGCAAACTGATCGTTAAAGAAGTGTGGTTCTCTGGCGATCAGGCATCTTTGACCTTTAAAACTGTATAGAATTAACGTTTTACGAAAATCCAGAAAACATTGACAGGTATTGCACGCTTCCATACGCCTTCTGCGACATCTGTTTTGCTCTATACTGAGTCAGGTTTGGTTTGTTATTTTTTTTTTATCTTGTTGAAGTCCGCTATCTAGTCAGGTCAATTTGATTTGCAGAAGTGATGTTTTAATATGAGAACATTGATATGATTATATAGATAGACTGTCAAAGTTGTGAAAGTTTTCTTCAACCGTCAGCCACTGTTTTAATTTGTATTCACATAAGCATAATAAAGTTTTAGTTGTTTTGTACACTATCAACTACTATCAAGTATACTGCAGTGGTGTACAATAAAGAGATAAATAAATATACTATGTATATATATATATATATATATATATATATATATATATATATATATATATAGTTGGTATACTATCTAGAAACATAATGGTTTAATCAAAAAGACTAGGAACGGAAGTAACATATTATATTAAAAAAATACTTTTACAACTAAAAGTTAAAAAAAATAAAGCCTTTAATAACTTACAAGCTAGTTTCTTATCTATTAAATAATATATATATATATATTCTTTTAGTGGCTGTATGGGAAAACTTTTTTCTAATTCCGGCCAAGCGAATTATAACCCAGGTCATATGACAGGACATAATGGTGGATATAATATGCCGCACTGTGGCTATGCTCAAAATCAAGGCTATAATTCACCTTGTGCCGGTGAACCTTATGGTGGCCGAAGGTGCATGGGATACTGTAATCCACCGAAATTATACAGCGATACTTACAACTATTTAAATCGTAATCTGATGCAACCAGTGGTCCAAGAGGTTTACCAAGACTTGAAATCGATTAACCCCGATAACACCATAATGAATAGCCCTATGGCCGCCCAGATGGGACTGCCCGCAACAAATAATTCAAATCAGGGGAATATGGGTCAAAATTCCATGCCAGCAGTACCTCTGGGAAATCCAAATACGCATTGTGGCCACATGCACGGTCCTCATCTCCATTTCGGAAATGTAGCTATGGACAATCCAAACGCACACGGCATGGGTCAAATGGGACAAGGCATGGAACAGGGCCATATGGGTCATGGAATGGGGCACATGGGACATGGCATGGATCATATGAGGCAAGAAGAAGAACATGGAATGAGACAAATGGGACAGGACCAAGGCATGGGAGTAATAGGACAAGATCAAGGAATGAGCCAAATGGTCCAACAGCAAGGAATGGGCCAAATGGGACAACACCAAGGTATGGGTCAAATGGGACAGGAGCAAGGAATGGGTCACATGGGACAAGGAATGAACCAGATGGGTCAAATGGGCCATGGAATGGGACATATGAATCACGAAATGGATCGCTCAGGAGGAGTTATGGGTGATATGGGCCAACATATAATGAAAATGATGACTAGTAGTAATGTAAGACCAAACAAAATTCCAAATGTAGTGACTCCTCAAACTAATGTTCCCGGTAATATGCCTCAATCTGGTGATAATGGTAATATGATGAGTGCGAATAATCAAGGGCAATATAATTCTGGCCAGATGCAAAATATTACTGGTTATATGCAGCAAGGACATCCTGAAATGCAAACGCAACAGAACACATTCCCTGGTGCAGCCGAAAATGCACAAAGTAATCAGATGCATGGCAATATGAATCCAATGATTTCAGGATCAAGGCCAACTGGAAACATGAATGCGAAAAACTTAGACAACCATGGTGCTTATGGCCAACATAGCCCTGGTATATCCAAATTTAATGAGATGTTTCCCGGTATAATGAAAGGAGATCTAGGATTTGATCCTATGGCTATTGCTATTCAGATGAACCCTGCTAACCAGCAGAAAACTGCAATGGATACGATGGAGAAATTGATGATGAACAATTCTAGAGGCCTTAACAAAGTTATGGATAGCAAAGGAAATGCATCACCACATATGCAACCAGTTATAAATGCTGCACATGCAGCGTCTGCAAGAATCAATCAGCCAAACCAACCAAGAATCGAAGAAACAGGTCAAAAAATCCCTGAAAGTCAGCGTGATAATAATCTAATTCAACAACAAATATACTCCCAACAAAACGACCAGATTCCACAGCGGCTGTATCGGCCACCTCAACAACAGATGATAGATCCAAATACTGGAGCAGTTATAAATAACCCACCTCTTCCAACTGTATACGAAGGATCCGAAGATCCCAATGCTAAACAGCAGCCACCTGTTTCATATGCAACTCCACCTACTGCACCTGAAATGTACAAAGACCCCATACTTCCTGCTGATACGTCAAGGAATTTATTACACTCTCATCATTTTCATCATTCAAAGCCACCTAAATATTATGAGTATAATACTATTGGCCAACCTGTTGAAAGACAGTATCAAAGTGCTGATAATCCCTCTAAATACAGCCATGTAAAACAGACTGTTAGTAAAACAGCACTGGTAGGGAATAAACCTATTGGCAGAATACCAAGTAGGACCCAGCAACAGGTTATCTACAATCAATATAAAGGCTCGCAGTCGTTTACGCAGCAGAATATAAAACCAAATGCTCGAAACGTCACACATTCGGATCCTCGTATAGCCCTTCCAGAGTATGCGCTACAAGCACCTATTGAGAAGTATAACGGAGATAGTGCAGCCAATGATGAAGTTACACCCGTAAATGCTAAATTTCCGAACGTAACTGCAAAGGTAACAATTAATTTAATTATTTACTTTATAGAAAGTTATAATGGTACTTACTGTTATTGTTTACTTACAGCAGGCTGCGGAAAAAAATGTCAAGCTACGTAACGGTCTTCAAGATCAAGTTTTCTCAGCCTATCCAACATCAGCAAAATGGAGTTTTCATGGCAACAATAGTGCTGCACCTTATTCGGTTGGCTATCGTTTAAGATCGAAGTAAAGAGAAATTTGGTCTATGTTTAATTTTATTTAAAGATTTTGTAAATGTTTTTTTGTTGGTTATAATTTGTGAAAAATGAGTGATTGTAAAAGAATGTCTATATTCGTAATGTTTTGTTTGGTTCTTGATTTATACAAATATAAAAAAAGTAATGTTTCATGTTTTTATTTTTTGTCAATAATTCCTAATATGATTGTGGTCGTGAGGGCTAACCTAATAAGCTTGATTCTGTTATCAGCTGGTAATAGAAGCTAAACGGAACAGCAAACTGCGCAATTTGTAACAGGGGTAATGTATCTTCTCATAAATTCATTAAGAGTTCAGTTCATGTTCGTAAACAACACGAGAGAGGTATCTGTTCTGACGATTCTGGCAAAAAAACATCCCTCCCGACGGCCATTTCCTTCTATCAAACTAGGTTGATAAACCGGTCTAGTAGTACCTAGTACGCACCTTTATTCATAAACTGAATTAACTTAGAATTTCAATATTGTGGGAAATCGCATTTAAAGTTTGACATTCATGTACGTGCGAGTTCGTCAAAAAGAGAACGACGATCTCTTATCTCTGCCATTTTCATGGTATCGAGTCGGCGGTTGGATTGTTCGTGTTCTACTGATGAAGTTGATTTGGTATTTGTTGAAAACGCGAAAAACGTAAATTTTGAATTAATTCAGTTTATTATTAAAGGTGCGAGTAGTCCGGTTGATCGAACTACTGCAACTCTTCAGTTTAGTTCAGTTACTTCAGTTTGGTTAGTTGTAATAAGTTGTAATTGTTGGGTTAAGCTCGCCTTTGTACATATAGTTTCTTAATCACTTATGTAATATAAATGTGTACAATAAAGAATAAATGAAATGAAATGAAAAAACACCGAACTATTGCTAATCTTTTGTAGCAACAGTTGGGTTAATAATTTAATTTAATTTAAACAAATCAAACTTTATAATTCAAAGGGAATAAGTAAATTGAAAGCAACAAAAGAAGGAACACGTAAAAAGAGCGACTGCAGAAGTTGAACAAGCGGACTACTGCTACTAGGCCGACACACCAGTTAGGCCACGAGGAAACTTAATTCCTCGTAGCCAACCTACAGAATAATATCACACTGAATACTTAGTAATTTGTTTGGGGACCTAACTGGTTAGGCAACTTAGTTCGCTCGCTTAGGTACTAGACCGCAGCTAGCGACAGAAGTTCTTCAACACCGATTGTCTCACTCATATGCCTCTGAGTATTGAAAGTATTATCAGAGATAAATAGAATCATTGTACAAATGAGCGGTGCCCGCGGGGCCAAGTATTTTTAAATAAATTATTTTGCAAATAACTTTTGCTTTGTTCGACAATCATCTCACTTATGCCACTATCGTAAAACGAAGCACAGGCTAAATTATTGATGAACCAGGCATAAGTGCAGTAATGGATCTAAGGGTTGATATTGAAGGGAGAAATTGTAAGAAATGTAGGTGATAGTCAGTTATTTTCACACCGCTGCCAATGCACAGTTTGGAATTATTCAATCTACACGGTCCATTAAAAATATTGGCATAAGTGCTGATAAGGACTGAATCGATTCCGGTTCTGAGAAAGTTGATAACAATTTTCAGCATGGTTCTGTGATTATCTCATTAATTAAAAAAAGACCAAAGTACTAATTAAAATGTAAAAACTCATTAGTTTAAAAGGCATAAGTGCCTTCACAACTATTCCGATACTTTATAGTTTCATACTTTAAAGTATCGGAATAGTTGTTTTATTCCTAATGCGGGAGTTGTCTTTTTAAAAAAAAAAAAAGAAAAAAGAAAAGAAAAAGAAGTTGTGAAAAACTTGACAAATTTCTCAGTTGTGCCTGTTAGTAGAAAATAATATTACAAGTCCATACTAAAAAGCACAAGCACCACAAAGAGCTTTATTATAGGAAATTACCCAGAAAGTTACAAAAAATATTGTAAGATTCGAAATTCGTAAAATTATTATTATTAAATCAATCATTACAATCATCCGAGTTATTATCAGAACAAATATTATCACCTTTTCATCATAATTGTCATCGTCATTTTATATATTTGCAGCTTGTATGTGTATATGGACAGCTTCTGTATGTTTTATAATAGCAATCGTTAGCGGTGAAATGCGGTATAGGTACTACAAGTGCCCATACATCAGGTAATCAATACGAATATCGAATACTACCAGAATCACACACACGTCTACGTATGACAAGAGTGATGGTAATATGGACATCAGCTCCGTGAACGTCGACATGAAAAGTATATCTATACTAATATTATAAAGCTGAAGAGTTTGTTTGTTTGTTTGTTTGTTTGTTTGTTTGAACGCGCTAATCTCAGGAACTACTGGTCCGATTTGAAAAATTCTTTCAGTGTTAGATAGCCCGTTTATCGAGGAAGGCTATAGGCTATATATCATCACGCTAAGACCAATAGGAGCGGAGCACCAATGTAGAATGTTTCAAAAACGGAGAAAATTTATTACTATTGAGAGACGCAGACGAAGTTGCGCGGGTCAGCTAGTAAATAATAAAGCAGATAATGTACGTGGAAGGTGAATAAGTGCTTTCCTGAATATAGAGGATATAGAGCCTCTATATTCAGGAGGTGCAAATATACAACTCGTATATATTTGCAACGCTCAATTTTACAATACTTTCAATACACTGAGAGGCATGAGTGAGAAAATCGGTGTTGAACTTATGTGCTAGCTGACGGTCTATAATTCAATTCCTCCTAGCCCTTATTATAATTTAATGTCAAAGTTATATTTATAGGTACTGCAATTTTTTTTACAGTCGCAGTTACTGAGTGACGTCCACCATATAATACAACTTTATCACCTTTTCCCTCAATAAATGAAACATCCATTATCAATTTAATCCGATTACAATTTTATCAAACATTATTCATTATAAAGATTTTGTATGCCAACCCAGCACAATAATGTCGAAAATAGTCAATTTAATGTTATAGATAATTAGTTAATTAGTAACGTTACCCCTTGTGAAAAACTGTAAATTAAAAATGAAGCTGGGCAATTAATTATCTATAACATTTTGATGACTACGAGTATTTTCGACATTATTTTGGTGGGGTAACGCACACAAAATCTTTATAGTGAATAATGTTTGATTAAGTTTGTAATCGGATTAAATTGAGAAAGGATGTTTCCGTTAAAGAGTTCTGTTGTCTGTCTCCCAAACTCATTATCAGATCTATATCTAAATGTCATTTTAGTCCTAATTAAAAATCAGACTATAGTCATGAGTCCTCCCTGACTACAGAAAAATGATAATCTCTCCCTGAGTTAAAAGAAAAATTACAAAAACGATGTTAGTATGTTATAATATAATAAATATAGTAATCAGTTTTTCATAATATTTCAGAACGCATAAATGCGTTTATAAAAATGGGAATAATTAAAGAAAAGTGTATGGTATAACGCAGATTGCACTTTTAATGTAATAACGCACTTGAATCTAGTTTAGGCATTAACTATTATTATATATTTACTACTATATATTTAAACTCAACAGGAAAACAAGTAGTACTTTAATACACATTTAAAATCGATTTCAATAGTAATAGAAGAAGAATTCGGTTGAAAGATATACATAAAGAACACTTTTCAAAGAAATCATAATCATAACTGTAAAAGTAATGGAAATTTAATTAACCTACTTAGGTAGTTTGATCTCACCGCAATCTATAAGTCATAATCTATAAGTAATAACTTCAACCTATAAGTCAAAATTACATTTATTGTTGTAGTTACATTTGAAGGAATGTTTTAATTTATTTTACAGATATAAAGTAATTATTCATGTATTTCTTTACGTATTTTTGTTGTAATATGACAATCTATTGACAATTAGTTATTTTTTACAACATTAAGTTTTTAGGCGATTTTTAGCTGTGTTGCACTATTTTTTAAATTTTATAATCTATGGTCAAATGAAAATAATGGTTTTGGAAATATTCTCGAGAGCTCGCGAGTGTGCTAGAGATATCTGTAGCTTTATTCCATAACAAAAGGAGAGAAGCGCTTAGATTACTGCATTGAGATTTACAGCCAATCCCTTCAATTATAGTGATTTTCCCTTTATTTTGCCGTATCATTGATTTTGTTCGACAACATGTCTCTTTTCGGCTCTTTGATGGGCGACGTGGAGGATGATCCGTTTTTCGGGTAAGTGTAATTGAAATCTTTCTAAAAAATCTACATTAAATATGCAATATCTTGTTTTTACAAGAAATACTACGGTACAGTCTTAAAACCATTCTAATATCTTTTTAGGAATACCCTACAGCTACCTATATGGTAAGAAAAAATTGCAAGCATTCTAATATTTATTATTATTTGTTTTTGTAGCTCTCACATGAGGCACATGCGTCAAATGAATAACATGATGAATTCCCTGTTCTCCGATCCGTTTGGCATGCTCGGCGGCGATGGTCCGCTTGCCATTATGGGCCCACAACGTGGTAACGCAATGATGCCCTTCATGCCCCAAATGCCTACATTGAACAGGCTGTTCGCTGGCAGTAAGTAACATAATAGTTTGATAATATTGTCAAAATTTCATCGTCATCAGGTCTTAAATAGTTCACTACTGGACATAGACCTCTCCTTAGAAAAGAAGTATTAGCCTGCTGTACCACGCTGACTAGAGGGGTTTGTGTCAAGTTTTCCAAGACAAAATTTGTTATTAAGTTATTATTAACATTAGCTTCAGGTTGTAGATAATATAATATCATGAAGAATTGACATGGTGATCATTATTCACATTCACATATTCTCTCTAAGAGAACTTAAAACCATTGTTTATCGGATGAAGGTCATTATTAGGATTTCCAGATTATGTGCTGTTACTTTTTGGCAGCTCTAAATCAATTTTTTTTGCTAAAACTAAACAATATTTAAACAACTTAATTATTATTAGCTCTAAACATGTTTATTAAGGTCATGCCTGTTAACTTAGACATACTTGAGGTCCATATCAGTGCTCTACGACTTAATAATCTATATTCTTGGAAATACATTTTCAATGATTTGGCACATCACTACTCATACCCATATAAAAATATCGGTGTAAACCCACTCTTTAAACAAACTGCTATGCTTTTAAGTTAAGAGTATGATCTGTATGATTATCCTTTGATCATCTTGTGACATGACTTTATTGAAGTAAAACTTCTTTACACACGCTTGACTTGGGGTGTAAGCTGGTGAATGCATAAAGAGTGTTACGAAAAGTGTTGAGAGGGAGATATAAGTTAGTGAAGATTACGCTTTGTATATTACGGTAGGGCCAAGAGAGAGAGGTGAGAGCACACATTTTCTTTCTCTCTTATTCTCATAGCCAAGAAGTTTTATGTCAGTTGTGTGGTCTAAAGCACTCTCGTTTTTTATTACTATAACTATAAATGTATTGCAAAATCATTAATATTCATTGGTAGGTGTAAAATTTTTACTATCACATTAACCACAATGCCACATCCTATACATATTTAAAGGCCTTCATTCAGCAGTGGATGGTGATAGGCTCATGATGATAAATAATTAGATAATTTATGTTGACGTAAACAATTAAGTTTTTTTTTATTTAATTCATTGCAAGTCAAGCTATGTTTGTAAATAATAAACACAACAAACACAATGAGACTGATAACTAACATGGCACATAGGTAGGTATTATTCTGCAAGTCCAGCAAAAAGTCTGCAATACCGGTTCACAGTCCGCTAGAGAAGCATAGTCTTTACACCCGCACTATCTTAGTAAACGCAAACTTAGTAAACCTAAACTTAGTAAACCTGGAGTTGATGTCGCTAATAATTCAATACCTTTCAAATGCTGATCTGGCAATAACACGTATGCTGCCAGACAAGGGATGAGACGAGGCACGATGCAAATGTCTAACTGAGCTATAAGGCTTAATCTGTATTGTACAAACATTTTAGAAATAAAGAAATTATTTATATTATTCTCTAATTTAAAAAAAAATGTAACCAAGCTACAGATGGCGAGGGTTTCTAAGACAAAAACCTCCTCCAAATATGCACCATACGGAGAAGTAGTGCTCTCTGCATCAATCCAAATATCCAGCTGCCTAATATTAACCTTTGAATATGTTGGTTGAGGTTTTAGCAATAAATTTATTAAATACAGGATATAATACTAAGTATTTTTTATTAACCACTTCACTTTATACCTCTAATTATTGCATGTTAGGTGAGTCTGGTGTTTAACTCTTCAAGTCTTACTCCAATTTCTTTACATCCAATTCTTTATCTATTCCTTACTTCCAACAAATACTGGTAGAATATTGGTAGCTCTACAAAGTTGGTAAATTGAGTGTTATCAGGCTGAAGGAAAGTGATTCCTAGTATCTTTGCGTCACAATAAATAATTTGCACAACCTTTTATCAAAAAAACGCAATAAACGTGTGCTCTCTTCATTAAGCCTTGGTTTCTAACCTAGTGTTCGTTTTTGTGATCTTACGCTAAAATGTACGAAATAAATAGTAATCAGTTTACAGAGTATAAAGTGAGATAATTCTAGCTACATAATAACATAACAAATAATAAAAACTAATACTTTTCTGCAAGATTTATCAGCGTTTAAAAGTATGTCATGCAGTTGTGACTGTGACATTTTAACTTTGTTATGTATAAATCTGGTGTACAATAGGCATATAGAATCATAAGCTTTGCCAACTCCAAGGATCTTGGGACTAAATCTTAAATCTGTGCTGTATTACAATTTCATGGCCACAGTTCCGTGGTTATCGTTTGAATTAGATATTAGGATTACTTTCTTCAAAGTATGTGCTATAATTTTTTATTTATTTTTAGGTCTAGATGGAAGCAACATGCATGCTGGAAGTTCTTTCAGCAGCAGCACTGTGGTGATGTCAAGTGGTCCTGGAGGCAAACCACAGGTAAGTCAAAACATAATTCTATGTCTCAAATTCTGCTCCTGTCGTTATTCTCCCCCCCATTTTCATGGGACCTGAATGCACATGGTTCGGGTCCTCCCTCCCTGAGGCTGGCCGTCGGGGTGGTTTTAAGTGAAAACAACACACACTCCTAGCTCCTGCGTCCCCTAGGAGCCGGAGATCCGAAGATATTTTCCACTCCACTTTACCAAAAAAAGTGTATAACTTTTATAAGTGGACTATGTGATGGACATAGTCCAGTTGTGCGCGCGGCTCTATGTGTGCGTGGGCTTGTAAATATACAATTTTCATTCGTTTGGCAGTCGTCGTCCGAGCACCGCGTCACTGACTGGGCGCACAACTGAGTTGAACTATCTATACCAGTGTAGGAATAACTCGATTCAGAAAAAAAAAAATCTAAAATTTTGCAGGTGTACAGTTCATCAAGCAGCACAAAAATAGGACCCCATGGTATAAAGGAGACCTGTAAAACAGTACAAGACTCTCGGACTGGCACAAAGAAAATGTCTATTGGTAAGTAACTAACATGATTTAAGGAAGAAAGAACGAAATCCATTTGCTGGCTGGAGCCGGTTTGAAGGATTGCCGTCATCGTCTTATCAAAAGAAAGTATTCTCCCTTCCCGCTGCAATAATCTTCGAAATGAAAAAAAAAAGTTAAGCCTTTATGATAGGGTTTGGTAGGTAATAATATTACCCCTTTCTCATTTTTCTACTTGGGAGAGGGGTCGAAAAGGTTTTACAGTATCTACGCACTTTTTCCTGGCTCACACAGGACAGTTCAGCTATTGGACTTAATTAATTAATTAATAACTTGTAGTTTAAATCGGATATTAGAAATGACGTGCGTGCAGCCGGCTCCTCGTTTTTGTTACGTCAAAAACTTACGGAGTAATTCACCATCACCACCAGTGTCATCATTAGCAAATGATGTGGTTATGGAAGTTGGATGTATATTGGTGTTCTTAACCAAGATCTGCTTGTATGCTCGTCATTTCGGCAAACTACACTCGTGGTTCTCGTCGTTCTCGTCGTTGGATTATAAACATGCATAAAACTTACAAAGTATTAAACCTGATGCATACTTGGAGTTGGTAACAATAATTTTGGCAAAATGGGGGTTATAATGAAACTTTTCGGGGCTGGCGGCACATATATGTACGTATACAAAGTTGTTGATACCTGCAAGACATCAGCATGTATCACGGTATAAAAATAACATACAATTGCTAATAGTTACATCACAAGTTTGTTAATCTATTTCATATTGTCATTTAGTAATAATAACAACACTCGTACGCGACCAGCTCGTAACAGCTTATAACTAAGGTTTGCTCAATAATGTTGGCATACTTCCTCCACATTTTGTTAATACGTCATTGTCCTTAATTTTATTTGGGATCCACACAATACTCATTTTGAAGCCCTGGCTGTTTATCTTTCGTGTCAGCCGTCTATTAGACGTCAATTCTTCTTGGGAATATAACTTGTTTTCAGGTTACATAAGTATATACATACATTAATTTTCAAACTATGAGAGACAGATAATGCTCATACAACATAGTTTTGAAGGTGGTTACGGATTGCACACGTCTTATAGAAACCGGCAATTAATTCCATAAACGTACAGCTTCTACGACAAAAGTTAAAAGTTAACGGAGATATAATACCCATAGGGCAGGTAGCTGCGGTAAGAGTTGCTGTAAGTCATGTGGGAGAATCGTGGTTCTGCACAAATAGGCAGGCTCGACCGAAGTGATACAACGGCCTCACAGAAAACCGATGTTAAGCAACTTGAGTGAGGTTAATGGAATACCCCCTGATTCTCTTATACCATAAAAAAAGATCGGAGTCGCGTACTGTTTGAAGGGACCACTAGGAGATGGACATGTTGTCAATCCTTTTTTAACGAGAACGACTTTCAATTTGAGATTTCGGAAAGGAGATTTCATTCACAGATTATGTACAGTCCAGTAGATTAGCTGTACCGACAGCTAAACTTCTCACAGAATATCTCTACAGTACTGTAGTGTTATTCTGTAAGAACAATTAGATATCTGGTAAGCTTATAAGGTTTAGCTGACCAGGTTTCATCATCATCATCAACAGCATTTACTAGTCCACTGCTGGACATAGGCCTCTCCGTAGAAAGGAGGTTTTGGTCTACTATACCACGCTGGCCAGACGGGTTGGTATAGGGATTTTTAGTTTTCCTACTCTTTGCAGTGCTGTTGTCCTGTACAGTTTGCTCCCTTAGTCGACTCTTACGACACCTACGGGATGAATAGGGGTTGTGACTCTCCGTATTCTTAATCCGTCAACAGGTTTACAGTTAGAAATAAAAATAATACCTTACCTTCAATATAGTTAATGTTTTTAAGCGAATTCAAATCAATTCTTGATTAGATTAAATATTTTTCAGCATATGTGAATCGACTCTAGTCCCACATTAAGTTTCAAGAAAACATTCTAGCTCCGAGGGTTATAGGATATAGGGTTATTAAACTCGGTAATCCTTTTTTGAAGTTCAAATAAAATGACTAGATTCCGTCCTCTGGGCGATCACTGGTACAGATAACATTTTAAAAACCTATTACGTTAAAAGTATTCAACTCCAGCAACTATTTTCTTGTTGTAAAGATTCAAATACTAATAACTTAGCTTTGTACTTGTTATTATGGTATTTAAATTCAAAACACTAATTGCCGAATGTTTCGTAGTCACAGGTTTTCATTGACGCTGTTATAACCATCATTAGTCAGTGTTTAGTTTCTATTATCTATGGCTATACAAGAGCTTATGTAGACAATGTACCAAATAGAACTATTCACGTATAACGACTTTTGTAATTAAAAACGTGTCTATGGCGACGAAATACAATTGAAATATGTGCTGTAATAACTCAAACTCGAAATTTATTTATTTAAAAAAAAAAACTTTAATTCGTCGTCAAACTCTAAAGTCATAGATCAACACACAATAGCAACAATCTCTTTTGTCAAATATTTAGCAAACTGAAGTTAATCCATTTTATGCTTGTGCCAATCTAAAACAGCCCGTTTCCAAGGGGTTGAGCCTTATGAGAAGAAAGGGCAAATAAACTCTATTACTTGGTGTTTACGAATTAGTATGTAAGTAATATTTTTCAGCAGTACCTAACCTACCTTTATATTATCCTCTGGACATCCTCTTCAATGAAGACTCTTTAATAAGAGTAACCGTCTTCCCGTCTTTCTTCCCTTTCCTGGACAACAATGCCTGCCTAATAATAATAACCTCACACATCTCACACACGGCAGTCTGATCTCAAACTAGACAGAGCCTGTCCTATGGTAACCAGACTGCTGATAACATACTTATATATTTATTACACATTTATTACACCCAGACAACAGAACAAATGATCGTGACTCATGACACAATAATTTGTTCTGGGTGGTAATCGATCCCACGACCCTCTGACTTAGCACTCAGGATCTTTAAGCACTAGAAGTAAGAATTTCCTGTAGATTTTCTTCTTGTCGATGTAATCATCATCATCATCGACAGCCTTTAACAGTCCACTGCTTGACATAGGCCTCTCCTTAGAAAGGAGGTTTTGGCCTACTATACCACGCTGGCCAGACGGGTTGGTATAGGGTTTGTGTCAACTTTTCCTTCTCTCTGCAGTGGTGTTGTCCTGCGTATTTCGCTCCCTTAGTCGCCTCTTACGACACCCACGGGATGAATAGGGGTGGTGACACTCTGTATTCTTAATCCGTCACCACACGGACACGGACCACACTTGTCGATGTAAAAGAGTCATAACATCTCCTATTAGTCTTTGTTACGAGTCGGACAGAACAGTGAACTGCGGTGATCAGATATCCTATGATATTGGTATAAATCTACTTTGTCTTACTGTTATAATTGCCGAAATGTTTGTCGTTTCTATTATTAATCTTCGGAATTTATATGTATACACTATATATTTATTTTGGCACCTGAAATATACTGTCTTTTCCAATATTTACCTTTGTTAGCTAATTGTTGACCAGATATCTTTACATAAGATAAAATAAAGTCGCTTTTTTGTCTTGAACACTTGATCTTTCAAACTACGCAACGGATTTTAATGTGGCTTTTCACCAATAAAGAATGAATCAAGAGGCGAGATTATATATAAATTACATGCATTATTATAGTAAAGGAAATCCGTGAATTTCAAAGATTTGTAATGTGAAGTCGTAAAAAACATGTTTTTGTGTTGCAAACGCTGGCTAAACCTTACGAGATAGATCAAAATGATTTACTACGGAATTGTTTATCTTAAAAGGATTACAAATGAGTCCGTGATGGTTGGTATATGTCTATCTACTAAGGATAACTCGCATTAACCATTTTTATCTTTTACATATTACAAAATTTATAATGGGTTATTTGCGAAGCTATTTTGATTATGTAATATATAATTATGTAGATCAGAATTGCCTTTTACAGCGTATCATTAAAATGAATATCTTGGTGGATATCAGAGGTTTAAAACACCCTGTGTATAGATGTCCTGGAGTATAGTTTTATCATAATAATAGTATAATTAATTACTCCACACTGACACCACATAAGTAGTATCTACATTGCACCCGTGCGAAGCCGGGCGGATCGCTAGTATATAATAATAATAACTTCACACATCTCACACATGGCCGTTAGATCCCAAATTAAGCAGAGCCTTACCAGACTGCTTATAAACAGTTGCCTATATATATATGTCTACCTACTTTATAGATAAACTAGCTGAGACCCGCGGTGTTACCCGCGTTTGTAGTTATAACGCGCGGGGCAAAGCTAGTCTAAAAACAGTAGCCTAAGTTACTCCTTATGTCATCAGCTATCTGCCAGTGAAAGTTCCGTCGAAATCGGTCCAGCCGTTCCAGAGATTACCTGGAACAAACAGACAGACAGACAAAAATTGTAAAAAAAGTTATTTTGGCATATGTACCGTGTAAACATACATTTGCATTTAGTAAAAAGCGGTTATTTTAATATTACAAACAGACACTCCAATTTTATTTATTTGTATAGATTACACACAATCTTTTGTCCTTCGTGGAAATTGAACCCACGACCTCTGGCTTAGTTCTAATGGTTCGTGATCCTAACTAGATCACGAACCATTAGACCAACAGGCCCAAAACGGATGGATTTAATAATATAAGCAATATATCGAATTGGCCAGGGTCGCATACTTGAAATCAAACTGGCTGTTACTTGGAAGTCCGAACCCCTCTAAACTATAATTACTCTTATTCCGTTACTAGCTGGGTACCAGACTTCGTTCGCGTGCGTACGCGACTGCAGTCCATGAGACCTCAGGTTTGATTCCTGAACCGGGCAAAATTTGATAGGGTTTCTGAGAGGAAAAAATAGCCTAAGTTACTCCTAATATAGAGAGCTACCTGGTAGTAAAATATTATCAAAATCGGTCCAGCCGTTTTGTACATAACCCGAACAAAAAACAAAAAATATTTAAACTGGTTTTTAGGCACAGGATTCGTGCAAACAGGTAACCGTGTGAGCATTAAAAAAGCTATTGTTTTGACATTACAAACAAACACTTCAATTTAATTTATTTGTTTATTTAATTAACAGTAGTATATTTACAAAAAAGAGCACTAAATAATTATAATCATAGATTAATCCTTTGTACAACATATTATTAATATGTACTACATATGAATTTCGGCTAATAAAATAAGGTCAATATTTCATTTACTGAGATGACTCAACTTACCCTCCGAGTTTTAACCAAATTAAACTTCCCCAGCGACCAATTTTATTGCAATAGCCCAACTCCGTAACGGTCTTTTTCACAATAATGTTCTTTTCAAACTTTAATTTTAGTCTTACTTAGTAAGAATTTTACCATTTCTACACGAAACCTGATAAAGTTGCACCTTTTTGTTTTTAAAAATAACTGTTTTGTAAGGTAACCCTTTTTTTAAACTTACAGCAAGTTTGTTTTTTTGATTATTAACTGACTGAATGGTACAGGAAAAAGTAATAAACTTTTTATACATCCACTAAACTAAGGGAACGCTAGGTATTAGACATGGTATTTATTGTTACTTTTAAATCATATTCATTTGATGAAATTATTGGTTTTTGTCGCTTCGATTTCACATGTGATTGTGATTTCGTCATAGACAAAATAGACAAAAGATTACGACCTTTTTTCGAAAAAAAAAATGAATCCAGGTTTACAAATTACTACGTGAAAACTAGAGAGTGGGGAGGTCTTAGCATATTCTTCGAGTGGTTACTGACGGGAGCAGGAGGGTTAAAAATAGCATGGTTACGTTCCCTACGGGGTCAAATCAGATTGAGTGAATAAATGGTCAAAACACCAACGAACAAAATAAACAAAACGACAATTTACATTCTTAAATAAAATACTATTTTCAGATTTTAATTATTGGAGGGATAACACTGTAATGCAATGTGTATTTGCAACTAGAACACTAGTATTTTTGTGGTAGTGGTTGTTCTGAATCATTCATCTCTGTATTAATAGACTCAGCCGGTGATGTAACTCCTTGTTTTTTGTTTGTTCACTAAATTTTGTACATGAACTAAGTAGGTGTTGTCTGCCTACTACGTATTTCAATGTCCAGTCTTGTCTTGAAATAGTACTTTAACTTACCTGGAACCCGTTTTATGAACCGACTTCAAAAAGGAGGAGGTTATCAATTTGGCTGTTTATTTATTTTTTTATGTATGTTCTGGCATTAGTTCGTCATATATAGACGGCTTTCAAAAGGGTTTATTTAGAAATGGTCCCTGTTTATATTTCATATAGATCTGCTGATGAATTTTGGAGACAGACCGGCACTCCTCAAATAAGGACAGTAAATCAACCACGATTGCTGCTTGGTTTTTAGTGCTCTTTGTTAGTATGTTTTGAAGTCGGTTCAACTTCTTTTTACAAAGGATTTTATTATTACCACTAAGTTCTGAACTAGGTAACATTTCTGCAACTGACTGCACGAATGGCGTGGTGGTTGAAACGATCACGTCGCCGCTTTATACTGCGCTAAGTGTTGTTAATTCGATCCCCACATGGGCAACACTTTGTGTGATCCACAAATTGTTGTCCCCGCGACGTGGATGTATTCCTATTGCATTTGTCTTTAAAAAAAAGAAATCTCAATAGAAAATGTACAAAATTAAAAATGCTAGTCTCTTAATTGCCGTGACTATTGGCAATGAGCTCTTTTTTTTGGTCTAGCTGTCAGTTTAAATTCGTCTTCATACCTTGTGTGCTGTCTTCTGCTGTTTCTTTTGCTGTTTTTTTTGGTACTATTCTTTTATTTCCTTCATCTCTTTTACCAATGGGTTATACGTGATATTGCCTGACCAACTCTAGTTTTTAAAGTCAATATGTACCAACATTTTAGAAATTTTGTTTTTTCCTAAGATCAATGTTTATAGTTTTGTCCGGAGGTTAACAACCAAAAGTGAATATAAGTTTGTTTTAACGCTTTTATGCCTAAACTATTCAATCGACTGTAACATAATTTGTACATAAGTTGTCAGGGGTACGGAAATGAACACGAGGAGGCCATCTGCTAGCCGTAGATGGCCTTGGGTACCCGAGAAGGGTGTTTTTAGTTGGTACGAGTCCGGTATAACCATCCCACTGGCCAGTTAGTGGTGTTCGAGGGGATTTCCGCACTGAAAAAAGGAGTACATAAACTAACATATGGTTATCGAAAGAAAAAATACTAAACCGAACTAAGTACCGATGTAAACCTGATCCTAAATGACATTCGGTATATTTTTAAACTGGGGCTGATTAATATCAAATAAAATCATGCTTGGTACTTCAAAAGAATCTAAAATACAGATGATAATTGAACTATGAGATGTAAAAAGTCAATGAACGTGCTTACGTAAATGTGAATGACGCAATGTTTGTTCAGTCCACGTCCTCGTGGAGAGTTTGTTCTCCTCAACTGTGAAACTGTATATTATCCAGGTCTGATAGCCAGTACCATTTCAGGTAGGCCTGGGTGGCGGTGCTCGCGCCCTTTATAGATTAGAAAAAAAACATAGTGGTTCCCACACACGAGGGGATCATCTGCAAGCCTTATATGGAGCATCAGGGATTTCTATTCTAGGGTACACCTTGTTCCCCGGCTACTGGTACCCGAGACGGCTGTTTTTAGTCGGTTCGAGTCCGACATAATTACCCTACTGGTTGTTCGTTAGGAAGTACTAGGATTACTGCATTAAGAAGGTTGAAAATAGTGTAATTAAATTCTAACAAAAGAAAAGCCAAAGTTACTTTATGATGTGAAAATGTGATAGCTTTACTATTTTAAATCTTATTTAAAAATTGCAAAACACAACTTAAGAAATATTCTCTAAATATTTAATACTAATTTCCATGCATTGACGTCAGATAGAATACAAGAAACATCCGATGGGGAATTCATTCCACAACATTCCACTTCCAGATAAATAGTTTGTTTTAGTTTTCCTCTTCTAGATGTAAATATTGTTTTACCGAAAACATCTTTCTATCTCGTTTTGTATGTAAACATGGCGCGGTAACGGAATCAGTCTGGACGTATAAATTTTATTAAGATTCCGGTAAAATTGCTAATTTTCACTTACTATTTTTAGGTTTAAGAAAATCAAACCACTATTTAAGTACCTATTTAATTATTTTATTCTATTCGTTATAACTTTTTAAAAAAATGTTGAAATACACCACAATGGCCCGGTTTAACTGTCCAGCTCGACCAATCCTTAAGCAATCCTTTTGTTGTGGATTTCACCCATTGAGTGAGGTTACTGGAGATACCTTAAAAACCGCCCTAATTAAGGCGAGGACACTCACAGGCCGCCGATTCTTGTGACTCTTGACAGGTGTGTATGGGCGGCAGACACTTACCATCAGGTGTTCCGTATGCTCGTTTGTCCCGTCCATACTAATACTATAAATGCGAAAGCTTGTTTGTGTGTTTGTCTGTCTGTCTGTTACGTCTTCACCCTTAAACCGCTGAACCAATTTATATGAAATTTGGTATAGAGATAGTTTGAGTCCCGGGTAAAGGATAATTTTTAACTCAGAAGTAAAGAAGAAGTCGTGACACGTTCGCGGTAAAGTCCGCGAATTGTACAGGAAACAGCTAGCAGAAATATCCTCATGATATCGTCACCCAAACTTTATTGTATTTATTATATTCCGTATGTATAATATATTAATAGTTATCTATGTATTCGTCTATCTTTTTCAAATAGTATTATCAAATTAATGTTATATTTTCATAGCTTCTCTTCTTATTACATAATATATGTGCACCTGCCATGCCCCTTACTGAACCATCTTAAGGTTGACTGGTAGATAATGCCATGTGGCATTAAGTCCGCCTCGTGCAAACTGTAATGCAGGAAGTGTAAAAATAAAAATAAATAAAATAAAGAAAGGGAAGGAAGTTGTGAAAAGGGTTGGAAGTTTGTATGGGGAATCAATACCCTCTATTTATTAAATTTGATATGGAGATAGTGTGATTATTGAGGAAGGACATAGGTTTTTATTTATCGCAGCAACCGACATACACGCGGGCGGAGCCGCGAGCCAAAACTAAACAAAAAAAAACCTAATAAGTTGCATACACTCGAGGGAACCTTTCAAAGTTAATTTTAGTCGTGTTTTGTGATGGTCCTAGTTTTTCACAGTAGGACAACAGTTGGACATAATTTAAATTACAAGAAATATAGTCCAACATGCAGCAAGCGCGTGACGATAGTATTTAATAAAGCGTCACGCACGAACTAGTTCAAGTTACTCGGTACTACGGTGGGAGTGAATAGAGTACTATGCTTCTGTTTTTCTTTTTCATTTTGTTTTATGTGTGCCTAATAAATGTATTTTCTTTTTTTCTTTATGAATCGAGCGTGATGTTCTTTATGTACATATACACCAGCTTTACATTGTACTGTTAAACTATATATGTTGAACGTTTTGGTACCGTAAAGATGAATGGTCATGCCACATTACACCAGTAATCAACTTGTCATTTTTATTAGAGCATTAAATATACAGTCTTTTAATATATAACTTAAAATCCGTTCTATGTGGATTCAGATCGATAATTGTTAAGGCTCTGGCGACCAACGGTACCGTGCGTGCAATCACGGGGCTGGTATAACTATGCTTTTATGGACACCCGGGACAGAAAAGTGACACCAGGTGTCTAGAGTATAGGCCTCTCCCCAAATTGCCACAACAACCGGTCCTGTGCTGTCCGTATCCAACGGTTTCTCGTGACCTTCACCAGGTCTTCGGAACACTTTGTAGCGGCTTTAATAGACAAATACTTGATTTAAATGCCATATTGTATTTTGGTCCAGAAACATTAAGTACCACAAACTACATTATTATTATTATTCATTGGTTTTTGCAGGTCACCACATTGGCGAACGTGCACACATGATTGCACGTGAACAGAACTACTACACTGGCGATGCAGAAGAAACCCAGGAGTTCATCAACTTGGAGGAAGAGGAAGCTGAAGAATTTGACAGGTATTTCATTAGTTCATCTGAAGATTTGTATTTAATCCTTTCTAAGGAGAGGCTTGTGTCCAGCAGTGGACTGTTAAAGGCTGTTAATGATGTGATGTGAATTGGAAGACTTCAGCTCCTGCATTTGCAACTGCAGCAGACAACGTTTTTTTTTCTGGTCTCTTGCATTTCTAAGTAAAACTTGAATTAAATATATTAAAAACTATCTTCTGTCCGTGACCTCACGTTAACAATCAATTTATTTTGACTCGGCAACTTACTTCATTTGGGTTTTTTTTATCACATTCACACAACGCCATCTAGTCCCAAACTAAGCAGAGCTTGTACTATTGGTACTAGACAACTGATATAAATACATATATACTTTTTTTTTGTAAATACATACATAGTATACATAGAAACACCCAGACAAAATCAAACATTAAAAGTTCATGCACACAAATGTTTGACTTAAGCGGAAATCTAACCCGCGATCTTTACAATAGCAGTCTGTTACACAAACCGGTCGTCTAAATTAAACAAGGGGTATAGAAGGGTAATGTAAAACAAGTTATTAAAGCTTTGGATTATAATACAAACTTAATATTCTTTCAGGGAGTTTCAAAACAAAGCCGGAGCGTTCCGAATGGGTCGTTCCCGTCCCGCCATCCACGCGGCTCCCGCACGTGACGTAGAGCCGCACAGACTCGCGCTCCCCGCCCCACCGACTACGCTCAATGTACCTAAGTAAGTACTGCTTTGTACTTTATTGCTAACAAATACTTTATCTATACAAATAAATAAAATTGGAGTGTCTGTTTGTACTATTAAAATAACTGCTTTTTACTAAATGCATATGTATGTTTACACGGTACATATGCCAAAATATTTTTGTTTACAATTTTTGTCTGTCTGTCTGTTGGTTTGTATCGGGTAATCTCTGGAACGGCTGGACCGATTTTGACGGGACTTTCACTGGCAGCGGTTATAACAATAAACGCCGGTAACACCGCGGGTCTCAGCTAGTTTCTAATATATGTATATAACTAACAAACTGGACTACCAAAACTACCTTCGAACACTACAATTAACCTAATGACAAATAATCTATTATATTAGCAACTAGCTGAGACCCGCGGTGTTACCCGCGTTTGTTGTTATAACCGCGGGCAACGCCGCGGGGCGAAGCTAGTCTAAAAAAAAGTAGCCTAAGTTACTCCTTATGTCATCAGTCCCGTCGAAATCGGTCCAGCCGTTCCAGAGATTACCCGGAACAAACAGACAGACAGACAGACAAAAATTGAAAAAATGTTATTTTGGCATATGTACCGTGTAAACATACATGTGCATTTAGTAAAAAGCGGTTATTTTAATATTACAAACAGACACTCCAATTTTATTTATTTGTATAGATAAAATTGTGCGTTTTTTTGTATACAATTTTAATTTCTAGAGTCTTATACACAAGACCAGAGTTACAGTGCATTTTGCGTTTATACACACGCAAATAAAATATCTGGTCAGGTTTACATGTGTGTGTATTAGCATATTATTATACGTATACATGTGTGTGAATTGTACATAACTCGTTTCTTCACTCATAATTGTTTTACTACCATTATGCGTTTCTGGTTTCAATTTCTCTAGTTTCCCAGGGCCTCAATTCCGCTATTTTATGCTATTTCATTTCCTCAAAAAAACGTAATATATTTTCAAATAATAAGGAAATGATTTATTTATTTTTCCAAATATGGCAATCTTTTTGATATCACCACTGATTAGCCACTGCCATTCCATTGCCACTGTAAAGACACTGAGTTAGTGTAGACTACCGATATTTATACCGATGCCAATAGCCACTCGATGGCATCTCAATAGCGTGTAAGTGGTATGACAGTGAACATAAAATAGCAAAATTGAGACCCAGGTATTTAGTTTACCGTATTTACAAAACCTGTTTATTTATCAATGTGTAGTGTTTAATACAGTCAATTCATTCACCACTTAGTCTATGAGTATCAGAAAAGATTCTTTAAAATAATACATCCGACTATAACATACAACCAAATGAGACAGGTTTTTAGTTAATAACTGTGAATGTCTGTAAATAATATAACATACATACATTCACTACACTTACGCTTGTGTACACAGATGTGCATTATACACCCATCACACACACACATGTGATGTGCATTATACACACACACATGAGGTTGACTAAATTAACCTCAACAACCTCATGTAAAAGGAGCAAGCCAATTGCCATGAGTTGATTGGTCAACCTGATATCACAAACACAAATTTTGCTGCATATTACCAGTAGGAAGATCGTACTTTTGGTAGGGTACAGTCTGAGACGGTGCCCTCCCTAAACTGGAAAGTGGCAGAACCCTGTGCACTATTGGTGCGGCTGCGTATTGTTTAAGAGACTGTCCACCAGGGTTCTCGTACCCTAGTAATTAAGGATTCTGGTATCCCCGAGTCCCTTGCAATGGACTCGCTTGTGTGTCGATTCGATTTCGACATATAGCTTGCCCCGTAAGATAAATGACATTGCAACGCAATTAAAATATTCTTGTACAGAATCAAAATATATATAGTGTTGTACCATGTACAGAATGAAATTATTATGTAGTATTAAACACAGTATAATTAACATATTTATAAATTAAAATTGGGTAACTGAAGTGTCAGTTTTATCGAAAAATGTTGAATTTTATGTAGCTATCTTCTTTTTGACTTGTCAAAGGGATCATCAATTTAGAAAACACTGCAAAAAATTACACACTTATTTGTTTTAACGTACATCATTTTTTAATGTTCTGGTGATAGGGTTTTATTATTTTGGCCTGATTGTACTTCTTCGATTTAAGGCATGCTCTTAACGTTTAAGATTTTAGTACCTTATTGTTATTAAATACTTAATGCTACTTGTAAAATATACATGAATTGTTTAACGTAGTGCTGTCTAGTTAAAAGAAAAATGTTATACCCATTTTTAGTATATGTAGTGTCATTTGGTATTCCGCATGTATGTGTGCCTATTTTATGGTTTATTTTGGCTTTTTACTTTATATTTAATTTTCCATTTTTACTTTATTTATGAGAGGCGGGTACATTGATGATAAATAAATTAATATTCTGAATTTTAGACTGACAGAAAAAAAATCCAGATCGATCGAGTCCTTACTTTGTTCTTTTTCATATTTTACTAGACATCTTGTATCTTGGTTTAAAAAATGTATAATGTAATTTATATAACAAAAAACTTTTTATTGAAAAAAAGATCAAAAGTTTCATTTTTATTCGCACAAAAATATATTTTTCTTTTATCCCATTAAATATACAAGGATATCTATGTCCTGAAGCATATTTCATATTAATATGCGTTAAAATAATAAAACATATTCTTCTTTCAACCATTAAAGTAAAGAAATGATCGTGAATATTGTGTTAGAATACGAATGTGTCCGCTTCTCGAGTAGTTAGCTCGCATGGTATACTCCGCAGTACAAGTAGTGAGTCACCGGCGCGGCGCCGCTCGCCCGCGCCCCTCCGCCCCGCCGCCCGCCGCCCCCTGCGGACGTGCGCCAGCCCCCTCACTACTTCCTCCAGGTAACACACACTTTTGCCACTCAATTGTAATAACTTAACTTAACTTAATAACACATCACACACACACCGCGTTTTTTCCTGAGACTTCCCGAGTGTCATAACTCGGTGTGTTCGTTGGTCACTGCTGTTGATGTTCCTGATGTACAGGAGTTGCAGTGGTGGGAGGGATTAGACCCATATAAAAAATGAATAAATTATTAAAATGAAGAGTCAAAAAAATAAAACGACGTGATGGGTCTATGGACACCCGGTCGGACGAAATTGCTGTCGCTGTTTGATAGAGGTTTGCTGTATATATGAAATATGAAAAAGATGTGAGCGTCGATTCGCCAACTTGTCATCATGAACAGCCTTTACTAGTCTACTGCTGGACATAGGCCTCTCCTTAGAAATGAGGTTTTGGCCTACTATACCAAGCTGGTCAGACGGGTTGGTCTAAGGTTTGTTTTAAGTTGAAGCCAACTGAAGTGTCGCAAAAAAGTCTTGTTACACATTTTTCGGTGTCGCTCCCATCCGCTCAGAGCGTGTAACGCGCGGTAGGAACTTCATTCTAAAACGCATCATTATACAGTTACAAAAAAAAATCATAGCTTAGGTTTAGTAAGCCCCGTAAATAACGTAGACATTTATACTTAACAAAATTCCTGACTTCGGATACCGATGTTTGATTTAAAAGTGAAGAACATAATTTCAAAATTGATATAAAGCTGATATTTCTTATGATAGTTAGTTTATGGCAAAGGACAGTTATATAACCTTGTGAAGAGTAATCGAGCAGACCAGCTCATACCGGTCTTTTTATTTACCAGATAGTTATAAACTCAAACCATCATCATCAACAGAATTTAATAGTCCACTGCTGGACATAGACCTCTCCTTAGAAAGGAGGTTTTGACCTACTGTACCACGCTGATCTAGCGGCTGGCGTTGGTATAGGGTTTCAAGTTTTCCTTCTCTTTGCAGCGTTGTTGTCCTGCGAGTCGACTAACAACTCTTACGACACGGCGCAAGATGAATAGGGATGGTGACACTCCGTATTCTTAACCCGTCACCACATAATATGGTGTCGTCACCACCAGATAGTTATAAACTCAAATATTTATTTCAAATTTTTCCAACATATTCCAGATTGCGGAGAAGACGTCACTACTATTAGACTCGTAATAGTAACATATTTATTTGTGTTTCATATATTATTGCTGTATACATTTGTTGGCTATGGTTCTTGTTTTTTTTTTTATTATTTGCTATCAGCATGGACACTAGATAGATGTAGTTACCATTTTATTGCATGTATGCTGTAAGGTGTATATATTATGTCCATAGAGGTTATGAAATCTATGTATTTTTTATTTGCAGAGGTCCAATAAAATAAATTCGTCGACGTTCAGTTAGTGCTACACAAATAGAGATAGACTAGTTGGTACCCGCAACTTCGTTTGCGTGGAATTTGAATTATCGATCGTAGTATCGATTCCGGAATAAATTTTAAAGGGTTTTTCTGAGAGGAAAAATAGCCTAAGTTACTCGTATAGGTAGTAAAATCTGTCCAGCCGTTTTGAAAATATACTGGTTTTTAGTAATGGATATGATGCAAATAGTTCGTGTCTGACATGCCACCAACAGGTGGTATCCGAGGGGATTTCCGCACGGAAAAAAAAAGGTATGATGCAAATAACCGTGTAAGCACGAAACAATCCATTAAAGACATTACAAACAGACACTTCAATTTTATTTATTTGTATTGATGCGCAGACTGTCTATGAAAATGGCACACTAGTTTTAAATACTTATACAACGGCAAAAGAAAAACCAAAGTTAAAACTTTCTTTTGAAATTTGTATGAAATAATGAGTTATGAACGTCGTATTTAGCTATAATTGATTTTACGATTTAAATAAAATCATCATCAAATCAACGGTCAACTAGTCCACTGCTGGACATATGCTCCTTAGAAAAGAGGTTTTGGCGTACTACACCACGCTGGCCAGACGGATTGGTATAGGGTTTATGTAAAGTTTTCCTTCTTGTACCGACACCAATGGCATGAGTAGGGGTGGTGACATTCCGTATTCTTAATCCGTCACTACGCGGACTTGATTTTAAGATTAAAATTAAAATATAACTGGAAATTAGAAAACAGATGAGAAAATGATTTTTGAGATGGAAAAAAATCATTGAACTCGCGACACTTACCGTTACCGACACCTCTGTATATAAGTATCTACATACTTTGGCCCCGTTTACACGAGACTTGAGATTGGGTTAAAGAACATTGATAATATAACTATAAACAATATAAACATATATTGTGTATATACGTACAATATATCTATATATATTCATGTCGGAATTTTAGAATCGAATAAAAACAAAAAAAAACCTGTTCTAATCTATTTTTCTTAAATTTTCAAAATTGCATTTGTTTTTTTTTAGTCTTATGCGTGAAATAATTTGTTTTAACCTTAGGAAACTGCTGCGTACAAAACATACTTAGTTATATTAAAGCACCAAAAAAAATATACTAGCGTGTACAGTCCAAGTAGGAAATAACTACAAATATATACACAGTAGTCACATGATAGTGCTGTAACTAGCTGACAGCTAACATGTACGAGAATCGCTTTATATGTAAATAGTGTTTCGTTTTATACAGATAGCCATATGTCATCACCATTGATTTTAAGCTCTCAAAAGTCCCTTCTACGACATAGTTTTGCTGTACAGTGTGTTCGATAAAGATCTTACCCTGCATTTCGAAATAATAAAACATTATATTAATAAGTATACTAATAATTGTTATAATGATATCTATCTTTTTACAAAACAATCTAATCCTTGGTATTTACCTGGATCCTTGCAAACTACTCGTAACTTTTGCCGTAGAACCAATTGTCGCCTGCGGTATTTTCGGACCTCCAAACCTCCAAGGCCTTCAACGTTGCAGATGTCCATGGGTGGTCACTTGCCATCAGGACCTCAATTCTGCTATTTTAAGTTAACGTACAATCCACTGTCATTTCATTGACACGCTATTGAGATGCCATTGACCTCGGTCAAAATATCGGTATTCTACTAACATAAATTCACGGTGTCAATAGACTGTCGATGAAGTAACAATGGCTCATCAATGTTGATATCAACAACATTGCCATATCTGGAAAATTTAATATATCATTCCCCTACAAATTTAAGATGTACCGTTTCTTTTTAATAAAGACAACTTCCGCATTCGGAATAAATCCTGTGTTGCGGAGGAATTTACAAACATACATGAAACGGACACAAAGAACACCCAGACTCAGAACAACAATCTGTGTTTACCAAACTATTACAAAATAGACGAAATTTTTATTAGTGGCAGTTAGTTGGCAAGAAAAGTGCAAAACTATTCCAACGACAGTCCATCGAGAGTCTGTTTATTGATACAAAATTGAATAGCATAATTGAGGCCCAGGTGACCAGACCGCTCGTTTGCTCTTATCATAAAACAAAGTTACTCCAGTTCTAGCGTTCTGTTATCCTCAAAAGCTCCCTGAGAGTTAATAATACTGATAAACCACAGACGGTTTAAATAGGTAATGGGTATTAAATAGGTGGTATACTTTCAGCCCGAGCGTACGCGAGGTGTACAGCAGCTCTCACCCGCAGCGACACCGGCACCGACACCACAAGCAACGCCACGCCTCTTCCAGCGCCACACACCCCCCTGCGGACGAGTGAATGTTCGTAGGCCACCCCCTCACAGACCCGCGGTCACTCATACGTGCCGGCGGCCCGACGACCAACGGTTACAATACTTTAGTTTTTCCTTCCAATAAATTACAGCTCAATGATTGAAGGAAGCATTAGCGGATGTAAAACGGTTCTTTGATTCATATTTTTACGTAAGTTTTCATGATTGAGACTTGTTTTTCAGGTACAATTTTTTTTCTTGATGTTGAATAAGTTATCATCCGTTAGTGTTTTACAGGCGTGTTTTAAAATGTTGTGCTAACATCAACATACAACATGATTTGCCACCTTTATAGACGCTGCCCAAGATTAAATATCTATGGGTAAAATATCGATATAAAAGATTACATTGACAAAGACACTTTACTCCGTTATCGATAGAGAGCTAGGTCTGCCGAAAATTAATAAACAGGCCTTATTAGGCGGACTTTTTGACCAGTCGGTTACTGTCAGCATGACATTTGTGACACAAACAACATTTTGAAACATGTCCTAAGTTCTATAGAATATTTTGTGAAATATGTATTTTTAAAGACTATTTTTAAGTTTCCATTTTCGGTGTGGTTTATAACTATTGCTGTCGCAATCGAAATAGCATTATTTTAATGTAAAGAAATTTTCGATTTCTGTTATCTTAGTATGTTCAATTTCTTTTTGTTTTATACTCAATACACTTTGAAAGGTACTGGATCTTAAAATATTTTAAATGAGTTTTTCCAGAATGTGTAACCCATGTAACTGAGATAAAATATATTCAAATCAGCACTTTCGCGTATTTATTCTTGAAATAAACTCAAACTAAGCCATTTGAAATATTCAAATACTAGAAGAAAAAAAAGTTACATAACGAATTTGAAGTTTAAAATTATCCTAGCAAAATATTGTAAAAGGAGCTCTGACTTAACGAGGACAGGACAAGAAAATTGTTGTGATTTTCTATTTTCATCAATCCCTTGTTCAGAGCATGACGAAATTATATTTCAGCTGCTTTTTAGTTTTTTATACTTTACATAAATATCAGTTTTATGTTTAGCAGTTTTTTTTTTATCGCTTGGAACCCATCACCGGAGCCAACGGTTGAGTGGTGTGTTGAAATCGAATCGACTAAATCCAGTGTTTTTCACCTATGCGCACCTGGTGCCCATAGGTCAGCACTGATCGCATAAGGTGACAGTGAGATATAGTTACGACCGTTTTGGCATTAAAAATTGAAATTGGTGACCCATCGATGTAGTCAGAGATCATTACAGAATAGCAAGTAACTGGAAATACGGATGAATTGATTAGCGTCAGACAAAACACGAACAGGTCAGAGTCGCAGGAATGTAGCTTTAACGCCTCTTCGCCATCCCGCCCCAGCCGCTGTCAGCCCCAACCTTTATTCTTGATTTGAGTGAACTAAAATTCAAGTATTGCACCTAATTCATGCATGTAATCTACATTGGTATTGAAGTAGTGCCACAATGCAACAGCATGCTACCTGAACACCAAGAATGACCATTAATAATAAGTATTCCTATAGTGCCTAAAAAACGGCCAAAAAGTGAAAGGATCTACAGTCCATTCGTGTTAAGAACATAATGACTCATTGTCCCCTTTTTTTTTTCTTTCCGTGCGGAAATCCCCTCGGATACCACCTGTCATGTCGGACTCGAACCGACTAAAACCGCACGCCGTCTCGGGTACTAATAGCCGGGGAAACAGGTATACCCTAGAAAGGAAGTCCCTGGTACCCCGACATAACTCATTGTCCCCTGACAAAGCCCCGCTCCGTGACAAGTTAGGTTCCAAAAAATGATAGTCAAGTTCACATTGACGAGACTTTTGTACGCAATGGGTGTGTTGTTTGAGTGATACCTCGTCTGGTCGTAAGAACAAAAGTGGATTATTCGTAGTGGTGAAAGACGAATCATTTCATCAACAGCCTTTAATAGTCAACTGCTGCACATAGGCCTTTTCTTAGAAAGGGGTTTTTGGCCCACTACGAGTAATTTACAATGTTTTTAAATACTTAAAATTGTGAGACTAATGTGTCTGTGGTGAGCGTTTAGCGTTCCGATTGGTGGAGATTTCAGTGCGGGCCAATCGTAGTGCCAAACGCGGTCACCGTGACGAACGAGTAGTAATGAAATAAACTAGCACTTAGCCCTCACTAATATAAGCAGCAAGTCCTTGCGGCGTGTCCGATACCCTTTATAAAATTATTAAAGAACAAAAGGAAATTAACTCATTTAAATCGTAGTGTCATAGTGAAACGACACTACCGATCGTACAAGAACACCTAACACACACATACACCATTCATTTAATATTATTTTAATTGTGTGGAAATGGACAGCTGTTTCTTATCCATCAAAAGAGATTTTATTTAGGAGTTTCGAAAGAAATATTATTCTTTTATTGAAACCAGTTTTGAAATAAGAGAAATTATTTTTATTTCGAAACTATTTTCACCATCTACTGCGTTTACTGTAAACTACTGGTATCGCAACTTGGTTTCGTTGGTGACCGAAGGGAGCATTAAAACTTTCCTATCTTTATTTTATTGTTGTACAAGAAATGTGAATTGTTTAAATTTTTAGTCTAACCTGAATACACCCTTACCTATTGCATCACTATTTTCTAAACGCGAATGGACTAGTGTCGATCGACTAGTGATGTGCTGGATAATTATAACTTTTAATACAAGTATACAGATACGTTATCGATACAGGTTTTTGGATTTCATGTCTACATCCGAAAGTAATGACCTGACCTGAAAATTTCCAAACTGGCAAAATTTCGAGTTTATAGCCCCAGCAGTTTAGATTTAGACTCTGCGTTGATGAATTAGTCAGTCATTCAGGACAAGTAGTGTCAAGTCAAGATGAACGTGAAAAACTGTAGAAAAAAAGGTTTTTTCTCGTTGGGGTCGTTTTTCTTCTGACCTTGACCGTCTTATTATTGTTACTATCGGCTCCCTTACACCCTGTTCATATGCAAATACACAAAATTAGTATATTATGCCGGAGCCGGATCCTTATGCCATCAGCACGATATTCATAGTTTAAAACTTATTTTTAAAAAATTCATAAATATAATAGTTCAATTCAAGCTAATTTCGAATCATCATTTCTTACTTTATTTTAATAATCTAATCTTCTAAACTCTTAGTCCATGTTGTGTAATATGACAGATAAGGACCAACCACGAATTCAATAAAAATTAACAATAAAGTGCTAAAGTAACCACATTCCTCGAACATAATTATACTAATTTCATCTTTTCTTAAACGGAATTGTTCAATACTCTCTTTAAGCTTCCGTGCATTAGTGGGTACTGAGTCCGTTGAAATCATATAAATCTTGATTATATATAGATTCGTAAAATGATATATCATCATCAACAGCCTTCAATAGTCCACTGCTGGACACAGGCCGCTCCTTAGAAGGGAATATTTGACCTACTATACCACGCTGGCCAGACGGGGTGGTATATGCCAACCTGTCTGGTGGTTAATGATATATAGATTCGTTAAACCAAGGATCTGGTATCGATATTTTATCACATTTCCAATACAGTTGCTTTACTGTAAAATGTGGCTTAGTTTATAATAATATAATATTATGTACCCATATTTTCTTTAGATAATATGTGATTAAACCTAAATTAGAGAAATGTTAGCTAATATTATGTAGTTAATAAGTAAACGTTAATACTGTATGTGTTTCATAACATTGCTATAAAATACCAAATTGTGACGTCACAATCGCGTTAAAAAAAATCCTTTAAAAAATTGGGGAAACTTGAACGTCAACAATAATTCAATGTTTATATTTTATATACTTAGTTTCATGAATGAATTTGGGAATCCAATGGTGGCTGGCTACAGAATGGTGGCTAGCCCTAAAGGACACCAAAACCCCTTTGCACCGACCCCAAATATAATTATGACAGAGGAAGGAAAATGATGATGATTAAATGTAGAAGATTAATTAGTTATAATAAAAAATAAATCGTGTCGTAACAGTTCCAGCTCTAAAGTCTATTGTGTATATTTGAAAAGCTATTATTGGATCTGCAAATTAATTATATCTACGTGACTGTAGAATGTATTAATTATAATTAATTAGAATAATTGAATCATTAGTTTATAATTTAATTGTAACTTATTAGAATATAAATCCATATAGGCGCAGTTTTGTTTTTTAAAAACTATATATATTAGAAGATAATGTAATACTTCCAATGATATATGGTTACAATTTTTACAAGTTAATTACTCACCGATATAATATGATACAGGAAGGCAATATTGGTAATAAATTGGTGATATTTGTTTAGATAGGGTGGTTCATTTATACAGCGTCTTGTGATGTGTATCCGAGTGAAAATATATCCTACGTTGAGTAATTAACTATACCTTACCTTACTTTCAGTTATTCTATGACCATTTTGGGTACCTTATCACTACGAAATATTGAATTAATTAAGAATAGGTTTAATGGAGGTTTAATATCCTGCTTCTATTAAATTTGTTGGTAGTACACAATGTAGTGTTTATTTATTGTAGCTTAGTGGCTAAGGTCGGACTTAGATCGAGTTTAGGATAGAATGGATCAACTTTCGATATAGTATAGTTTAGATAATAGAACATTTTTAGTACTGTCTATCTATATATACGATACATGCTAGTAATACTTACATTTTTAGAAGAAGAAAAAACTTTCCAATAAAACATCAAAAAAAAACTTTCCAGTAAACATAAAAATTTGTTAACAAAAATAAAAATATAGTTATCGAAGGAAATATTGATTGACAAAGTATTTTTTAAATTCGAGGTTTATTTAAAACTTAACACTAAAAGAATAATTGTAGTAAAAATTTTCGCGAGTGGTATTTATATACGGTAAATGGTTTTACTCACGTGGCGCTTCAGAGACTGACAGCGGGGTCCGAAAGGGTCCGAAAGTCTGAAAGGTGCTCTGTCAGGTCGGAGATCCTCGAATTACTTGGGGGAGTATATTAATTTAGTAAAACGCGCTTACGATCCGTGTCTTGGAACATATAAATACCATTAGTACAGCAGACGTCCGAGACTAGGGGTCATCCTTATGACCTTTCATAAGGTATCGTGATGATACCTACCCCAAAATCGTACACGAAAGACAATACAACACGCAAAAAACCCAATCGAGAAACTATTACACTAGCCAGCTTCGGGAGTGCCCGGATACAAAGGACCCTACTATTTAAATGACCCTCCCCTTCAAATCTCACACTGTCGATGCGCCTGAGTTCTTTTGATAGGGTGTTCTGCGATCCAGTTTCAGGAGGGAATCATGGCCTCCAAGTATCTTTAATTAACTCTAAATTTTCGGCACGATGCTTGATTTTTGTGTATATGAAGTTCACTAAATATAAATGTGTTTAGTGTTAAGTTTTTTATATATTAAGATGTGTCTTAAATTTTGGTATTCCGGCAACCCGTTTAAGTACTTTTGTCCTTTTATAATAAATACAAGCAAAATAATATAAACATTTAAACTAAAGATATATGTACGTATTAAGAAGGTTCTGTGAAAATCCTTATGGCACTTACGATGTTTGGTTTTAACTGTCTGTAATAAGTTGGTATTTTCAAGTGATTTTAAAAAGGAAGAGGTTCTCATTGCAACCAATTCAATGATACAAATTTAAAAAAAATACAACTCTGAGATGGAATATAAGGAATGTAGAAAATTCATCATGATGAAGCCGAATTATCCGTATAGCCTATAATAGCCGAATCGACATATTTTTAAAACTTAATCTATAGTTCCTTTTATAATATTATTTAGCACAAAAGTACAGTAGTGCTGGGAGCTAAAACCAATCATCTATAAATCATTAAATACAGAATTCCCTTTAGTCCTTCTTTTAACGGAATTTTGAAATTATGGTGTAAAATATTTTAGATATCTAGTTGGTGTTAGATGTAAAAATTCAACATTATGTGTGTGATAATAAAAAAGTAAATTTAATTTAGAAAGATTTTTATTTCGTCTACTCCCATCCTTTCTTTCTTCATGCCAATCCTTTCAAACTAAGTCTTTCGCCATACCAATTACAAAAAACGTATTGTACGTGTCCGTGTGGTGACGGATTTAGAATAAACTGTCGCCACCCCTATTCGTCCCGTGGGTGTCGCAAGAGCCGACTAAGGGAGCAAACTACGCAGGACAACAGCACTGCAAAGAGAAGGAAAACTTGACACAAACCCTATACCAACCCGTCTGGCCACAGTGGTATAGTAGGCCAAAACCTCCTTTCTAAGAAGAGGCCTATTTTCATCAGTGGACTATTAAAGGCTGTTGATGATCATCATCAAGGAGCTGGAGGAGCTGCAACGTCCAATCATCATCAGATGATTGGACGTTGCAGCTCCTTGTTAGGTTAGGTTAGCAATAGTGAAATAAAAATTTCAAAACTGGAGGAGAATGTAAAATGAAAGTCCATAATCATAAATTTGAATGTCAAGGAGTACTTTATTAAAAAATAAATGATTAATCAAATAAATATTACAATGAACGTAATCTTACCAACTACGACATAATAAAAAATACCTTTAACCCGAAAATTAGAGAATCATCCAAAAAACGTATAACATACATAAGTAATGAAATTACAAATTAATCGAAGAAAAAGCTAATTTGAAGATTTTAAACATTCAGCTCCAGAGGGTTTGGCCCCCATTTTGTTTTTGTCAGAGGCACATGCGACAAATATCTTCGTTGATTTCAAGCATCTGATCAATGAAGGGCTGGTTGTCCATTAGCTTGGCTAGTTTGCAGATGATGGAGAGTAGTTCGCCGCTCTTGTAGTTCATTTGTGTGTTGCACAATTGAATTTCTTCGAGTATTGATTGTGGAATCTGTTTACAAGAAATATAGTCAATTTTTTAATGTTTTATTAATTATGCAATGGATAAACGAAGGATCATTGTTTTTAATGTAAAGTCTTACGGTGAATGCTTTCAGAAGGGCAAATATATTCTTTATGTCATACTGTATTTTTAAATGAACTCTGTTTATGTGATGGGCAAACCAACGGCCGTACAGCAAGATCGATATTAGTTTTCATGGACTCGATTTTTCCAATCATACATCTACGTTCTGGCTTAGATGTATTTATATTAGATAAAAGGATCAACCCCATGCTGCCACATTCTGTCCCTGTCCTAGTAGCCCCTAATCACAAGAAGTACATAGGGGTCGGAACCCTGGCCTCTACGAGCTACTGAAGCTCGCAGGATCTCAGTCTCGTTTCCAATCTGAAACTTGTACTATCCTCCACCCTAGCTCTGTCGTCGGCCTAACCGAACCTAATTTATAGCTGTGACCGATTAGAAAACGACTGTCAGAAAGCGGATGATCTAAAAAAAAAACTATTTTGCAATGTTAACAACTCATGGGTTGAGTGAATTTCAACAGGCTTCATGAAAAGGATGAGGATCTCAAAGAGGTATTGGTAGGTACTTGTTGTTTGTAACTTAAGAACTCCGTAATTTATAACCCGGATTATATATTGCGTTCTGTTTTTATTGGGCCGTGTGTACTGCCTGTTCAAATTTGAAGAAAAATACAATCCCTATGTGTAGAAAATTAAGAAATGAGGCGTACAGTCAACGATTCACCTTGATATCGGCGAAGTGAAATTCTATTATTTAAACCAGCTTGATAGTCGCAGAGATAAGCGCTGATAACCATCAGCTCTAATATGCTCCCAATATATTTTCTCCAACTATAATAACTACAATACTATTTACTAAAAACAACAATTCTCAATGTTGTTAAACATTAGCCAAGTAGACGAAAGTTTTTTTTTAAGTTGAAGTATACGTCCAATTTAATCGCTCATGATGTTCTTTCGTCTTCGTGGCTAACTGGTAACCGAGTAGGTAGCTAAGTAGTTAAAACATTGCAAAATTAAGCAATCCTAGCCAGGTCAGTATTAGTATATTGGGACCCCTCCGTGCCTCTGAGAGCACGTTAAGCCGTCGTTCCCGGTTGCCATACGAACATCTGCGGCAATAACAGTCTTTCTACAGAACTTCGATATCGCGTAGTACTTGGGTTGTGAAGGTATGATGGCAGTTGCTCCGCGCAAAAAAATCGAAGTTCAATCGTCTCGTAGTAGAGACTTAAAGACGACCCCAACGTTTGGGAAAATGGCTCGGAAGATGTGAGAACATCACAGGACAGAGATGGAGAGGGACAGAGATGCCCTCTCCACCGGACCATAATAAGTACAGCCTGTGCGGCGCAAAATAACCTCATATTTAAAAAAATAATCGGGCTGGTTTTTCAACGTGATAATTGGGATAAAAATATTAGTTTAAAAAAATATATTTCGGAAAAATCTGTACGTGGCAAGTTATTGAAAAAAAAAAGAAACAGGAAAACCCGAAGCTGAGAAAACGAAGGGCAAAAATCGCGATGTTTTTCAGATAAAAGTTTGTTTTCTCTCTCTCTCAACCATCATTTTCTTCGTTTTTTCTCACACTAGAACCTGCGATTTGTCGTTTTTCCATTAAAATAGTCTTTCCCTGTTTTGTTTTTTTTTCTAAATAAACCGGTGTATCGCGCCTTTTTGTTTTTTTTTTTTGTTTAATTAATACTTTTACCCGAATTATTACGTTGAAAAACCACCCAATTTCTTTTTTTTTTCGATCAGAGGGTCGAGTGCAAGTTTATTTTACTTCGACTCGCCCTTGATGGCGAGCGCGTTTAGCGTTGCGATTGGATGAGATTTGAGTGTAGCATCGAACACGGTCACCGTGACAAGTGACTTGATGTGAAATTGAGTCGCTGTGATGTGAGAGGTGAGTTGATGTGAAACTCGCACTTGAGTCTCTGAACTTTCTCAGCCTGTGCTATAAGGGTTGCGTAGCAAGGACTTGTTTGTCAAGATATTAATATAAATGACATAACTTTACGTGATTTAAATTCCGTCATTGTTCGTTACAATTGAATTTGAATTGACTGCACGGATGGCGTAGTGGTTTGAGCGGTCGCCACGCCGCTTCCTAATACGCCGAGTGTTGTGGGTTCAAACCTCACATGGGACGACACTTTGTGTGATCCACAAATTGTTGTTCTGAGTCTGGGTGTTCTTTGTGTCCGTTTCATGTATGTTTGTAAAGTCCCCCGCGACACAGGATTTATTCCTAATGCGGCGTTGTCTTTTTTGAAATAATAATAATAATAATAATTATCGACATGTTAACTTAAGATTTTTATGTTGTATGGCGTTTATGACATCTATATACTTACATTATCAGGATCAGCGAAGGTACTGAACTTATATTTCGTCTTGATCTTCTCTGTTCCATTGTCGTGGAAAACAGTGAATTGCGCGTCTTTGCCGCTGGCCCCTACGGGGAAGTAGAGCCCGGCGATCAGGTGCCCTTTCTGGTCGCGTGAGAGAAGACTTCTGTAAACAACACAGGATAACATTTAGAACAGGTTTCGTCAATCATTTGAATAGCGACAAAATTACGTAAAAAGAAATTCAATGGCGTAGAAAAATCTGACACAGCTTAAAACTCTTTTTAAGCACTACTCGCTTAGTGAAGATTGCCTTTCAAGCTTCTATGGAGCCATCAGGAATAGGAGTCAGAATTACAAACACACACATTAATAGCCACTTAATTTCCACTTTTAAATAGTCCACTGTTTTAAATAGGTCTCTCCTTAGAAAGGAGGTTTTGGCCTACTATACCACGCTGGCCAGACGGGTTGATATAGGGTTTGTGTCAAGTTTTCCTTCTCTTGCCTTTTTTTATGATGCAGGGGGCAAACGAGCAGAATGGTCACCTGATGGTAAGTGACTACCTTCGTCCATGGAAACCTTAAACTTGAAGAGTCACAAACAACTAAGTTGCCACCCTATGAGTGCTCACCCCCAGAATTAAGGGAAGGGGGTTTGGGTTCTGATCCCACTCACTCATCGTAAACCAACGAAAGAACTCCTTAATCAATGGTTCTTTGTGAGGCCGTGTTATCACTCTGGTCGAGCCGGCCCATTTTTGCTCAAGTATGGCTCTCCCACGGTTATCGTGAAGCCAGTTCTCTAGATCCTATGAAAAAGACGAGGCAAGGCGCTCCAAGGAAGCTGTTTTTTAGAATAATTTAAGAAGCGTAATCGCCTCAATGACGACCCAAAATAAAACGACCTTTTATAATACAATTAGTCACTTCTTATCTGTCGTTTGTGTTCATATTGATAAGAGGTTAGTAATTAACTAAAATCAGCAGATATATTTTGACGTGGTCCATATCTCAATAATAAGTCTGAAAAAATGTAGCACAATACAAAATTCCCGCGTAATAGCAAGAACACGGCGTACAGCTGCCTGTAAGTGGAAGTGATACAGGCAACAAGAGAGATAGACGCCCGATATTTCCTTCTGCCTCTGTTTAGCTAAGCTGCGATTAGCTATCGTGAAGTGGGCATGGTATTGATCGTAGAACAAGCGGGAGATTAGAAATTTCGCCAGCCAACCAACAAAAAGAGTAGTACCAGTGTATTACTAAAGTGTTTAAACAATCGAAAACAAAAATACACTACATAACTTATTAGATTTATTATTATTGTAAACACACATCGAACAATTAGAAAATAAAATCTATGGTACCTAAGGGTTATAACATTGGCGCCTTTTTAAATCCTCGAATCTCACCTGAAGTTGTATACGAGGTTCCTCCTCTCAGTGACGTTGACGCCATCCAGGTACGGCCTAGAAATATAGACCAAAGAAGTCTGACACTTGAGACTAGTGCCGCGAGTTTCGCGCTCCTGCCATTCTACGTAGCCGCTGTTCAATACGTTGAAAGTGTAGTTGTACTCCTTGCGGCAGTTTGAATCCTCGGATTGAGTGAACCAGCCTGTTGAAAATTAAATTCCCCTTAGATTTTGTATTGTATTAATCCAGTTACGTCTAGAATTGTAACTATATCAAAATATTTTGCACAATAAGCCCTAATAATTGAGAGTATAAACATTTAAAGAAAAACTAACCTGTGTTGGGGTACGCACGATCTGCCATTACAGTAACGATCCTTGGCACATGGTATCCGGGATCAGCAAGCATGATGCCGGGCCGTCCGTCGACACTGATCTGAATGCCGATCATGACGTGCTCCTTCTCAGCCACAATCACACTCTCCGGCCCCTCACCACATGACACATACTCGGGAACGTTGACCACGGCCTCCTCGCACGACAGCAGCGCCGTCGCCGCGGTTACCCCCTCGAACTCCCGCTCCAGACAGCGCCACCGCCGAATCAACTCTAATCCTAAGCCAACACAGGTGTGTTTCTTCGCCTGGATAGGGGGTGTATACCGGTCGTATACGTCGTACAGAGGCTCATCGCTTCGTTGGAACGTGTCGTAGAGCGAGATGAAGTTGCTGACGGAGTCGTAGTTGTCGGTGACTAAAAGTCGACGCAGGATGCCCTCGGCTCGCGTGACCAGGGCCTCGTGTCGCGCCAGCGACAGGCTAAGCGCGCGACGGGGCGGACCCCAGCGCGCGCTCGGCAGGGGTGCGGTCACGTCGCGGCGCCGAGCCCGGTGCTGCGCGTCCGAAGCGAGTCAACTCGGCCACTCGGCGCCCCAGCGGCCCACGCCGGGGGCGGCCGACTCCGCCTCGGCTTCGGCCCCTGCTCGCTCATGTTCGCCATCATCGCGGCTCCGCTCCGTAGCAACCGTGACGCTCTTGACCAAGAGCGCCTCACGCTGCTTCTCTAACAACAATGATGATGGTTTTTCACGCTCTGCAAAATAATAATGGCAATAAATTAGTTGTTGATTTGCTATCTACATATTGTCTATGATTCAATGAGATTATTTAATATTGTGCTATTGTAAATACTGTGTATTGTTTTCAATGTTTACAAAATCCGTGTACATGTATCGATGCGAAATATTTTATAGATCAAATATGTTTGTTAAACTGCTCTCTTTTTGTCTGCTTTATCGCTTTGGCATTTATACAAACTAAATGCTTTCGGACCTAAGAAATATTGTAAAAAAAAAACCTAGATAAATGACTTTAGTTTACTTAGTAAATAGAAAGAAAAGTCCATTACGACAAAGTTACTTCTTAGGTATTTTCGCGAATGTAGTAATGTTTTGTAGTACCTATGTATACTTATGCTTATTGAATTTTCAGCTGTTACTCACAGATACTGAGGTCGTGTACACTATGCCAAAGAACTAATAGAAATTCCAGCAGACGATTGACTTTAACGCTATTTTTATCTGCAGCTTCCCATCGATACAATGTTATTCTTAGACGAACCTTTTCTTCAGTACCAAGGCTTGCCAACGATACCTTTTAACACTAAAAGTAACGTTAAATACCGGTATTTTCTATAGATAATTTTGATAGCGGTTAAGATTTTAACGATAAGTCAGTAACAGAACGCTATTGTAACTACTATAACGTTAATTTTGTGAGGTAATTACGTAACAGAACTATATTATAACGAAATCTCTTAGGCAACATAACTTATCAGCTTGGTAACGATTTACCGATATAATTTAATTTTCCTGAAGTAACGTTAATTTGCGTATCGTTATTTTTTAAGTGTACATGTGCAGAACAAAAGTAACGTTATAATACTTTTAACGTTATTCTAAGCTCTATTCAATACCTACCTTCACAATACATTAGTTTTATAACATTCGTTTATAGTCTAGATATCTATAAAAAAGTTATCTTTAGTTTTATTATGGTGACGTCGACAGAATCGTAATTTTTATCATTTCAGTAAGTACATCTTGTTTTTACAATATATTCGTAATTATTAGAATAAGTCAGCACTCTACCCGTAATATAATTTAAATAATTTACAATTCATGTGTAGTCTCGGTATTCCTACATCGACGCGGGATGTACATACTACGATTGTTGTTAGCTCTTCGCACTACGTTATTGCCAATGTTGTACCCTAAGCCATTAATAAGTATGGTCCCATCCTTATGTATCAGATTTTCTTATTAATTTAAAAAAGTACATCTCTGTTTTCGTTGAATCATTAAATGATAACACTGATTCATTAGGTAGGTACATCAGCAAAAGATGTATGTTTTGTTTATGACGTGTTTGTGACGTATCATGATCAGCCTATCGCAGTCCACTGCTGGACATAGGCCTGTCCCATTGCACGCCACTTAGATCGTGACGTGACGTGACGATTTGTGACGTATAACTAAGTGATAATATGTTCCTTCAGCTACACACAGTTGTGTGTAGCAGTAAGTCTATAAGTTTATAGACTGACATAATTACACAGGAAACAATGACATTTACCATAAATTTTGTAAGGACTTGATTTTTTTTTAATTGTATAATGGCGGCCTTAATGTCATACGATTTTTCTATCTTTTGACGTAGACTGCCTTAGTGATGCAGGGTTGAGTGAATAGGTGCTAACTGTTTCAAAAATTAATAATAATTACTTTTTTAGCTACTATCTTGCAAATACACGCATAAATTACATACATACATATTTGCCTTGTTGTCCTTATGTCAAATAACATCCCAGGAATTTCGTCTTGAAATGATGAAATTCTGGGAATGTTTGGATGTTGGATTGACATTGTCATTGTCTTGGTCCTAAATGTTATTTTTATCTAACGCTGCCCAACGGATTTCTTCTCATAGAAACCTTGTAGCTAATTATATTTTAAGGAAGACATTTTAAGATATATTCATACTGCACGTACAAAATATTTGTGCCGTAACCGTACATACATCTATTGATGCATTTTAGAACAAATCATACTCTTGCCTGTGCTATGATATTCCTTTATCTTTATTTACTCTTTTGTAGTAATTTGTGCACTTTCGGAATACACAGGTGGCGTATCTACCTTTTGTTTGTTAACCGACTTCAAAAAGGAGGAGGTTCTCAATTCGATTGGTATTTTTTTTATGTATGTACACCGATTACTCTGAGATTTATGATCCGATTTACGTGATTCTTCTTTAGTTTGATGCGGAGTAGTTGCCATTTGGTCCCATAAAAATTTAACATAGTTAGGCCCAGTAGTTTTCATTTTATGAACATTTTTAATATATAATATAATTCATCGTCAGAATTTTTGTGTTATCAATCGGCCACAGTGATGCTTATGCCGATGTTTTAAAGTATTTGTTTTATCAGTGATAACGATGTCTTGCTACGTTTAGTTTATCAACAACAATGAAAATAAGTAGAATTGTTTTATGTTTTAATAACATTGTAAACACTACTGCATCTGCCTCCTGTTCTGTATGCCAGAAACAAATGTTTTTCTTTCTAGATAAGCTACTAAGACTTGCTAGTATTAGTAGATTCAGGAATACGAGTAACAAGCATATTACTTGTCTCATAGAAAGCGATTTCCGTTGCCCATAAAATACTGAATACTTACCAAACATGTCATTCGCGTAATAAGCATGAGCTGATTGGTTTGGTTGTAAAGTGCTCCATTTACGTAAATCTGGTATTTTCTTTCGGGTTAACATTGCAAAACTAACACTATATTTAGAAGAGTTTATAAACATTTACCAGCATGCGAAATGTGATCTATTATTCGTTAATTTAGCTGTAGTCTCACAGTTACTCACTTTAAAGAGTTAAACAGTTTGTTTGCATTACAAAATCTATTTATGTGCTATTAAGTAATAATACTATCGTACATTTCGTTGTTACACGACTCAAAAGACCAAGGACAATAAGAAATAATTGACTACAATATAAAATTAATTAGCTTTAATGTTTTAAAAATCACCGTGTATTAAGAAAGAGAATTTTTAGTAAATTGTAACCTTTTGATTTCTACAAACAGTTGGATTACACAAGCTTAATCAAATCTACCGGACCTTTTGTTTGTTGAAATTGTTTTTTTAAATTTATATTTATTTCCAGCATCAATTTTAGTAGTTACTAGCTGAGACCCGCGGTGTTACCCGCGTTTGTTGTTATAACCGCGGGCAACGCTGCGGGGCGAAGCTAGTCTAAAAAAAGTAGCCTAAGTTACTCCTTATGTCATCAGCTATCTGCCAGTGAAAGTCCCGTCGAAATCGGTCCAGCCGTTCCAGAGATTACCCGGAACAAACAGACAGACAAACAGACAGGCAAAAATTTAAAAAAATGTTATTTTGGCATATGTACCGTGTAAACATACATATGCATTTAGTAAAAAGCGGTTATTTTAATATTACAAACAGACACTCCAATTTTATTTATTTGTATAGAACACTATTCCTCTTCTTAGTATGTGTGACGTATTCCTACCAGTCATGCATGAGTCGACTGCTTCCAGACAAAGTGCTCGTTTCGAGTCGATATTTTTTCTCAGAACTGTTAAATATATTCTCAGTATACATCAGACTTGACCCCATTTCGTTGTTACATTGTATTCTTTATGATAAATTTATGAAAACGATTCAACAATATTGCGTGCTTTCAAAAAATTCAAACAAGTGACTTTATTTAAAAAAAAAAGCGAAAGACACTATGGTTTATTAGATATTTGCTACGCCGTTTGCTACGCAGTTTATTTATTATTATTTTTAACTTTTTCCTTTATTTTGATATTTATTAAATCTGCCCCTCATCAAGATTTTTTTTGAGCATAACGAAGCTTAGACTCTGCACTAAGAGTAACTTAGCATTAAGCGACATACTGGTATTTAAATTATTATATGACAATATTTATCTAATATACCTATTTTAATAATAACAGAATGACCTGACATGGGGATAAACATTTTTTCATAATGATTCACAATATTTAATAATAATTTAGGCTCCATTTTAGTATGATAAACTATTTATTAACTTATTAAATTTTAATTGATAAACCTTGATTATAACAGGATAAATGCTTCAAACATTTTTTATCATTAAGGATTATAATATAAATAGCTGTCTTCTTGTTTCTTACTAAGGCGTAGAATGGACCTTCCATTATCACATTGCCTAGTTTTTCGGACCTATTAGTAACATATTGACAGTGAAATATGAACAAAAACGAAGAAAAAACAAGTGAAGTATCAGTATAAAATCCGTCAGTTACTTAAGAATTCTTTGACGCACTTTAGTTCTTGAATTTATAAGTCTGAAGGTTATCGCCTTCGAGATTGTAATACATTAAGGACAAAGGAGCAGAGCCTTTCATAACTCCATTGAAGCCTTATTTACTCGGGTATAAGGCTTATAGTCTTGATTCGTCTTTGTTTATTAGATTTACAGCCTGTTCAAAGTACGGTTGTAGACATTATACGTTTCATTTATGTAAAATATTCTCGACGTTGTTTATTTAAAAGGGTACATTTGAAACAGTTATTTAAAAGCAAAAATGCTACATACCTATACAGAAAAATATTTAAAAAAAACTTTTTTTTTTATGAACTCCATTGACAAAGCTCATTGAACCTCTTTACCTTATTTTATAGACCATAGATAACCGTATATTATAAAACAAAGTGCAAGAACAACAAAGCCAGCTAGAAATGTCCTTGTTAATCGACTTCTTTTTTATTTATTATCAGAATTAAAATAGTTACATTTTGTTAGAATATTATCTGACCTATTGCCATTTTAGTGCGTTGTTATAAAATGTTTTTCAATCAATAGTAGTAATATAAACCAACCTAAATAGAAAAACAAAATATAAGTATTGGTATTTTGAGTCACCAAGCTACTATTTAATTTAATTTTTAAGTTATTGGGTTGATTTGGTACCCAAATGACTTTCAATATAATAAAAATCGTCTAGA